GCTGAGGGTAGGATTCAACAGAACGATTCTGTCATTCATCTTGACTATCCACCTAGTGAGGATGGCGACACCACCAACAATGAGGAGGTCGCCCAACATCATTAAGAGGCCGACGAGGCAAGCGCCTATTAGTTAGGACCTCTCTCATTTTCTTCTTTTTTTTTTTGTTTAAATGTATTGACTTTGGCACATGTGCCATCTTTACACCTCATTTTTTGTAACCTTCTGAAGTTTATTTAATGAGATGGCAGACTCCTGATCAAAATTTTTTGTGTCAACTTTTTTTTTTTTTTGCAAGTGTTTAGTGTTCGGCTCATTGTGCTAACTACAATTTACTTTGCTCAGGTGCCTGGCTTTTGGCTATAATGCCACTTGCCACTTAGCCCTCTAATTTTCTTTTAGCAGTGTTTGGCGTTCGGCTCATAGTGCCAGCTGCCATTTACTTTGCTTAGGTGCCTGGCGCTCGGCTGGAATGCCCCTTGCCACTTGGCCTTTTATTTTTCTTAGCAAGTGTTTGGCGTTCGGCTCATAGTGCCAGCTGCCACTTACTTTGCTTAAGTGCCTGGCGCTCGGCTGGAATGCTTCTTGCCACTTGGCCTCTTATTTTTCTTAGCAAGTGTTTGGCGTTCGGCTCATAGTGCCAACTGCCACTTACTTTGCTTAGGTGCCTGGCGCTCGGCTGGAATGCCTCTTGCCACTTGGCCTTTTATTTTTCTTAGCAAGTGTTTGGCGTTCGGCTCATAGTGCCAGCTGCCACTTACTTTGCTTAGGATTTTAAAGAGGAGTGCAATCTTTATAGATCTCAAAAACTCATACATTCAACTGTTTTCAATTTAAAATAAACAGAATTCAGTACTGAATCTCAACTTTTTATAGATAATACCTCTTTAGAGAAGTAGCATTCCAAGGCTTGTTAACCAGCCTTCCGGCCATGGTTTCTAAGGTATATGCGTCTTTTCCTATGGCCTCTGCAATTCTGTATGGGCCTTCCCATGGTGGCATCATCTTCTTGACTATCCCCACCTTCTTTTTCAGAACTAGGTCACCTGGCCTAAAGTCTCTGTGCTTTACTCTCCTGTTATGGCTGTTCGCAAGTGTCTGCTGGTAGGAGGCGAGCCTCACTGCTGCTGCGTCTCTTTTTTCTTCCAGCAAATCGAGGTTAAACCTTAGCATATTGTCATTATGCTCACGGCTCCAGGCCAAGCTTCGAACAGTCGGAACTAAGTGCTCGACCGGTAAAACTGTCTCGGTTCCATACGCCATGGTGAATGGACTTTCTCCGGTCGGTCTTCTTAGGGTCGTTCTGTAGGCCCATAGGACGTTCGGCAGTTCATCTAGCCACATTCCTTTCCTTTCTTCTAGTTTCTTTTTGATACAAGTAAAGATTGTTTGTTTGTAATTTTCGCTTGTCCATTGGCCTGTGGGTGACTTACTGCCGCCAGCTTTTGATTAATTCCATACTCCTCCAACAGCTCTCTTACCTGCTTACTGTCAAGGTTGGTACCATTATCCATGACGATTGACCTCGGAACACCAAACCGGTAAATAATATTATTCCAAATGAATCGTCTCACATGAGTTTGAGTAACGCTCGGGTACGGCTCTGCTTCCACCCACTTAGTAAAGTAGTCTGTAGCCAGCAACACATACTTGTTCTGAGCTCTGGCAGTTGGTAGAGGACCAACTACATCCATCCCCCATTGCGCGAAAGGCCATGGTGTGGCCATTACATGCAAGCCTTCAGGCGGTTGGTGAATCAGTGGTCCGAACCTTTGGCACTTATCGCACCTTCTGGACAATTCTTCCGAATCTCGCGACATGTTTGGCCAAAAGTACCCTTGAGCCATTGCTTTGTGTGCTAATGATCTCCCCCCTGAGTGGTTTCCACACACACCTTCATGAATAGCTCGTAATATTTGCCGAGCCTCTATGGGGGTAACGCACTTTAAGTACGGTCCGGAAAAGGATCTTCTGTATAACTAGTTATGCACTATGGCGTACTTTGCAGCATTCGCTTTGATTTTCCTAGCCTCATTTCTTTGTTCAGGCAGAGTACCATCTCGGATGTAAGTTATGATCGGATCAATCCAACTTGGCTCATATGGAATAACATTCACTTGCCAAGGATCTGAGCCTGAAGGCTCTTCGAAAATAGATGGCTGGTTTAATATTCCCACTAGAACCACCCTTGCCAATGTTTCTCCGGAACCCGAGGCGCTACATGCTAGCCTGTCGGCATCTCCGTTACACTCCCTCGGAATTTGAATGAATTCAATTTTTTCAAAGTTCTGCGCCTCCCGCATAACGGCAGAACGATATGCTTCTATCGTTTCGTCCTTGGTTTCATACTCACCTCTCACCTGCCGAACGACAAACTGTGAGTCACTGAAAACATTCAAATTCCTGATCTTAAGTTCTTTGGCCAGTTTTATTCCTGCCAGCAACGCTTCATATTCTGCCTCATTATTCGTGGCTGCGAATTCAAACCGGAGCGTTTGGCTTAAGGCTGTACCTTCTGGCGTCTGCAGTTTGATCCCAATGCCTGCACCCATCTGATTTGAGGATCCATCAACGAAGAGTTTCCATAAGCACTTACAAAGATCCTCCTCCACGTCTTCTGAATCACATTCCAGTAAAAAATCTGCCACCGCCTGCCCTTTGACTGCTGTTCTCGATTCGTATGTGATATTAAATGAGCTCAACTCTATGGCCCACTTCGTCATTCTTCTGGAGAGATCTGGTTTGTGCAGTATTATTCTGATAGGGAAAGTGGTTAGAACGATAATAGGATGGGATTCAAAATAATGCCTGAGCTTTCTTTTCGCATGCACTAGCGAGAGTATCACCCGCTCTGCCTTTGAATAACGTCTTTCGGCCTCAGTCATTGTTTTACTAACATAGAACACTGGATATTGCTTCCCTTCTGCGTAGTGGATCAGAACGCCGCTTGTTGCGATGCTGGATACTCCGAGATACAGAAACAGCTTCTCGCTTGACTCTGGAGTTGACAATACCGGAAGGTTCTGCATATATTTTTTCAGAGCAGTTAACACTAGGCGTTGTTCATCTCCCCAAACCTACCTGCCGTGGCTTCGGATTGTGTCAAAAAATGGCTTGCATCGATTTGACAATTTGGAAATGAAACGACTCAGTGCAGCAATCCGTCCCGTAAGTGTTTGCACCTCTTTGATTGTCGTTGGCTCGGCATTCTTAGTCAGAGCATCTGCTTGGGTAGGGCTTGCCTCGATGCCTCTGAGATTAACCACGTGCCCTAGGAATTGGCCTGAACTTACACCGAACGAGCACTTGGTTAGATTGAGCTTCATTCCATAGTGCCGCAAAACATCAAACACGCCTCGAAGATGCTGCACATGATCAGCTTTCTTCTTACTTTTGACCACCATATCATCAATGTAAGCCTTCACTGTCTTCCCTATTTGCTCCTTAAAAATCTTGCTAATAAGTCTTTGGTAAGTTGCCCCGGCGTTCTTTAGTCCGAACGGCATAACTTTGTAGCAATACGTCCTGCGTTCAGTAACGAAAGAAATTTTTTCTTCATCAGCAGGGTCCATGGGGATCTGATTATAACCCGAATAAGCATCTAGAAAGGTCAAGCGTTCATATCCAGTTGTTGCATCCACCATCTGATCAATCTTTGGCAGCGGGAAGCTATTCTTCGGACAAGCTTTGTTTAAATTGGTAAAATCAATGCATACGCGCCATTTCCCATTTTTCTTTTGTACAACGACCACATTCGATAACCAGTCGGGGTAGTGCACTTCTCTTACGAACCCCGCATCAAGCAGCCTATCAACTTCCTCAGCAATAATTCGGTTGCGCTCGGGGGCAAACCGTCGCTGCTTCTGTTTTACAGGTTTTGCATTGGGATTAACGTTCAAAGAATGACAAGATACCGAAGGATCGATCCCGGGCATGTCCAGGTGACTCCATGCGAACACATCTGCGTTTTGAGACAAAAAATCAACTAATTCCTGTTTTTCCTCCTCAATGAGTCTTTTCCCTACTCTGGTTGTCCGTTCCAGTCGGAACTGATCGATCTGCACATCAAGCAAGGGTTCTTCAGTCGAGCCCTCTGGTTCCTCCGCTCCGTTCTGCCTGGAAGGAGGCTCCTGTAATTGCTATCTCGGACTTACTAAACGAATGGGAGCTTTCCCCTTTCCGGCATGTTTCAGCGTTACAGAGTAACATTCTTTAGCTGCAACTTGGTCTCCATGAATGTCAATCACTTTGGTTCCATCTGGTGCCAGGCATCTCATTACCTGATGCAGAGTGGAAGGAACACCTCGAACCCTGTGGATCCACCCTCTGCCCATCAGAAGATTGTAATAGGGATGAATTTCAACAACTACAAAGGTTTCCATCAAAACCCTCTCGGCAGCATGTACCGCTACCTCCACTGTGCCGACGGGCTCCACTCGCTTTCCATCAAACCCTACTAGCGGATTCCCGGTGGATTTCAGCTGATCCTGTTTGATCTCGAGCCGATCGAATGTATCTCTTGGCATGATGTTCGCACTACTTCCAGGGTCAATTAGAACTCTGCGCACCAAGCATTTGGCCACTGTCAAACTTACGACCAGCGGGTCCTCATAAGGGATCTGAACACGCAACAAATCTGTCGCGTTAAACTTTATCTGCGTTGATGAGCTCTGCTGGTGCAGAGTGTTTACACTACCTATCCTTCTCTTCATCCGTGCCTGATGAAGGCGTGTTCGAAGCAATTCATCTAATTCCTCAGCAGGTTCTGGCCGACCGTGAATTGCATTAATTACTCGAACTGGTTACGTGTTGTGAGAATTCGATTTCTGATTCTTCTTTACATGCTCCATTGGCCGGTTCTGCTCCACCGCTGGTCCTTGAATATAACTTGCGAACTCTCCTCTGGCTATCAGCATCTCTACCTGTCCCCTTAGGTTCCTGTATTCGTTAGTCTGGTGGCCAAAATTAGAATGAAATGCACAGTGTTTAGACTGATCCCTCTATTCGAAAGGTTGCCTGATTGGTAAAGGAGGTCGGAACTTATCTTTATTTTCTTGATACAGTCTTGCTAGGGTAACTGTCAGTGGAGTAATCAGTTCTTCCTCTCTGGGCCTTTTCTCAGATTTCCACGAGGAGCGTTGCGGTTGGACCTGTTTTTGCTTGATCTTTGCTTTGGTCTTTTCTTCCGTGGATATAACGAACGTCTTCCGAGCTTTTGCCGCCTCTTCTTCTTCCAAGCGTACAAATCCATCAGCTCTTTCGTTGAGTTCATCCATAGTCCTCGGTGTGTTGACCACCAAACTTGTGTGGAACGGGGTGCCACGATTCATAGCCAGAATGAATGCTTGAACTGCCATTGAAGGGTGGCATTCAATAACCATGCTCTTGGTAAGGTTAAAGCTGGTTAGGAAAGCCTGGAAACGCTCTTCAGCGTGTTGCTTCATTGTGAATAAGCTCGAAATATCTTTCACTGGATGCTTGTTTCCATAGTATTGGCTTATGAACCGATCGCACAGACTTCGGAAACTATCCACCGAACCACTCGGCAGGTTCTTGAACCAATTCAGAGCTGGTCCGACTAGACTCGTAGGAAAGCACTTGCACATCAAAGAATCATTCTTAGTGTTTATAGCCATTTTCAGCTGGATGTGATACACATGATCGATCGGATCAGTCGTTCCGTCGAATAGAATGAAAACAGGCATGGAAAATTTCCTAGGACTCGGGGCATTCAGAATCTCATCGGTGAACGGTGAATCCACCGTTCGAGCTGCTGAACGGAGTGCTTCATTCTCCCTCTGGAATCCCGCGGCTGCTCTCTGGTCTACTGATTTCCTCTCTGAGCTGTGATAGTCGAACGTCGTTATGGAAGGCCGATAGGTCGGATCGAATGATCTATCTTCAACAAAGTCCTTGTGCCATGGAGGCATAGCTTTCTGACGAATCAACTCTGTTGTTTCACCTCGGCTGAGCGTTTCTTGATGTGGATCAAAAGTCATCGCTTCGTTTCGCTTGATCTGCTCACGCCGTGGATCCATGTGAATCGATCATTCACGATCATCCATACGACGAAGATTTGGCGGCAGACCGTCTCGCCGGATTTCCTCGCGGTGAGGATTAACTAGATTGTTTTCAACCTCTTCACCGTGATGTGCTGCATCGGTATGTGCACCTTCTTCGCCTACCAGAAGTGGTCGTGGAATTACTGGAGCTTCTTGACGTTGTATTTCATTCCTTAGATCTGCATTTTCTCTCCGGAGAGCTTCGATCATGTTCATCAACTCATCGAGTTTCACTTGCTGGATGTTCTCAACCGTATTAGAGTTGTTACCCCCTATCATGATTCCGGATCGAAGCAAAGGCATGAATTACGAACTTCGAAACAGATCTAAGCGTTATCGATGCAAACTCCGCTAGATCTGGGCTTAACTTTACCGAATCGTGATCGCTGTTTGCTAGATCTGATTTTCTAGCTTCAAACTCATCGGATCTGGCTGCAACTGAGTAAATCGCAATTGCGTCCTTTCAAAGCAAATGCCTCAGAATCCACAATAATCAAGAATTCTCTCGGAGCAAACTATAATCTCACCGATCTGGATTCAACTTCCAGAAGTCACACTACATATTCACAAACTCGATTGAGCTAATAAGGTACTAATCGGACTCGAATTGATCTTCGTCCTCGTTTCCCACAGACGGCGCCAATTGAAGATACAATATTCCGTTTCATCTCTCTCCCCCTTACTTTTTCTCTCTCTCTCTCTTTTTAGCTTCCTCTCCTTACTTTCTACCCGTCATGGTCTATTTATAGGCCATAACCCTCTTTTGCAGTTAACCAATTACATTGGGCTTATAGCCCAAAGTTCTCTTCCTTCTGGGCTGGATCTTGTAATGGGCTTGACCTTCCTCGGTGGACCCCCCACGTTCGGCCCACTCCAGGGTGCTTTGACATGAATCCTTCTTCAATCATTCGACTCGATCTCGTTTCCGCGACCCATATCCGGCCCATGCCACTTGCCGCATCCTCAGTAGCTTTGAAATCTTTATTTTTTATTTCTATCCCGGTACATATTTATTTATTTATGTTTCATGGTTATCAACTTATCATAATAATTAATACCTAGTAATCAATAATTTTATCTTGGTGGATGTGATTATTGACAGAGGGTGCTTGTGGGTATGGCGATCTATTCCAACAAGGATATGGACTCAAGACAACGGCCCTAAGCATGGCACTCTTAAAAAATGGGCAGAGATACGGTGCATGTTTTGAGCTCAAGTGTATGAATGATCCACAATGGTGCAAACCCGGTACTGTCAAAGTAACAGCAACCAACTTTTGTCCTCCGAATAATGCAGAGGGATGGTGCGACCCACCTCGGAAGCACTTCGATCTGTCAATGCCAATGTTCGTAAAGCTGGCGCACTACCGTGCTGGGATCATCCCGGTTCGCTATCGTCGCATCTCGTGTAGCAAGAGATGAGGGATCAGGTTCCAGGTGAAAGGAAATCCGTATTGGGCACTTGTGTTGGTGTACAACGTTGGAGGTAATGGCGATGTTGTTGATGTTAAAATTAAGGGGTCTCGCACGGGTTGAATTCAAATGGATCGCAATTGGGGCCAGAATTGGTAGACTGGGGTGCCTTTAGTAGGGCAAAGCTTGTCATTCAAAGTGACGACCAGTGATGGGAAGGTGGTGCAATCTAATGGCGTTGCACCTCCAAATTGGCAATTTGGTCAGACCTACAAGGGACAAAATTTTTAGTTTTCTTTTGTGGGTCTCCACTGTAATTCGCTTACTGGCTGGGACATAGTATTATTTATGTTCACTTATCATGCACAAAAGTTATTTCAATCAGAAGGACACCAACACTTCTATTTTTGATAAATATTATAGTTTACAATTGCATGGTTAGTAATTGCTTTGATGCCCTCGAAGGTCTTCTATACCAAAAAAATAAATTAAATTATTATTTGATTTTATGTAGAATGAATGTTTCACCTTTCTTGTGTGCCAAAAGGCCTAAAAATAATGAGCAAGGAAAATAAAAGAAATGAACTAGTAAGTACTTCAACGTCGAAAATCTCCTTATATATTTTAGACAGATTCAAATATAACAGCCGTGGACCATCATAACAGCGGCCCGTTGTGTTGGATTTAAATTAGCAAACATATTTTTTTTACTATTATTTTAAAAATAAGTTAAATATTTTTAGTCTATTAAACAATGATTATATCTATGCATACATGATAAACAATAATTCTTTTTTTTGGTTAACCTAATCCAATATTATAAATACTAGGATAAAAGATCCTTTTGAAATACATTCAACATCCATGAAGGCCACACTTGCCATGCAAATCACCTATACTTTGATGAAGAGCCCATTTACCCACCTCATGTGCTGCTCTCTTGTATAATTGTGGGCACCAAACCAACTTAAACCCCAAGCTTTGATGAATCAAACACTGGATATCTTGAATAATGACTGGGCATAAAAGGTTTTTAGGGGTAAGGTTAACCACTGATTGGCAATCACACTCAACATCCACATTTGAATACCTCCACTGACCAAGAAGTTTCAGACCATCCCTGAATACTAGAGCCTATGCAATATTTGCGCCGTCTGCATCTTGATAAAATACTGTAGCCACCTTAACAGCTTATCCACAATAATTACGGAGTACCAAACCACCCCACTATAACCAGTTAGCTATTCAATTAATATCTACCAAGAGCGTGACTAATCCAACTATTAGTATGAGGATTACCACCACCAGTGGGCGATGCATTAGCGGTTTCCTCCGACAAATTACCACTGATACATTAGCAGTTTCACAGTTTTTTCCATAATCATTACTAGATCCTATTCAGTTTTATTAAAAACCAAGTTGTTTCTTCCTTTCCAAATCTACCAGCTCAAGAAAGATGCCAAGCTCAAAAGACGATTAACCTCATGACAATCTTTCCAAAGGCTTTGCATTTCACACCATTTCATATACCATGTTTGGTACTTACCTGTGAAATGAAGCCACAAGGGACTAAGTTTCCAAACCAATTGAGCTCTACGATAATCAAAGAGCACAACATATTGTTTCTTCTTCCTCTCTACAAATTACACACGAAGCTTGATTAACCAGACCTCTCTTCTTTAGATTCGACAATACTGGAAGGCGTTCATGGTAGCACTGCCAAAGGAAGAGCTGAATTTTCCTCAAAATTGGTAGCCACCAAATTTGCTTCCAAATGGTCTCTCTACTTGGTTGGCTGCTGGAACTTGCTTGACAATGATTGATGTAAGTTGAATAGTCCTGACCCTTATTACACAATTGCAAGGCCACTTTATATGCTAATTTTACTAAAAATCGACCATCACTAGTTAAGCCCCAGATTTTATAATCATCACCTTCAGACTGTCGAAGAGGCATCTGCAAAATTCACTTACAATCTCTAGGATTGAACAATTGTCTTACCAACTTAGTTTTCCACTTCTGAGTTGAATAATTAGGCTGGTACTATTATATACGGAGTACTAATTAGGCTTTTCCTCCTTTTTAGGTACCATAACTTTTTATTTCACTGAGGGCAAGCTGACCTGGTGCAAAAAGGTCAACTGCACAATTTTATTTTATTTATTTATTACTCCGCATAATTTAGAGAGTAATTTGTCAATTATTTACAAAAACATACTGTAATAGAAAAATATTTATTTATAGGGAAGAAGTCTCTATTTAAAAGCTTACCTTTTAACAAAAAAAAAAAAAAAAAAAGTCTCTATTTAAAGTTAATTTTTCACTTTGATTGAATTGAGAAAAATAATTACAAATGCATCAAGAACTATTAAATTTAAGGTCCAAGATGCCCTCTATGCTCTTATTTCAAAATATCAAAATATTTTTTTAAAAATTATATAATTTTATAATATTAAAATAGATAATTGAAAACTAGTTTGACCTATCATTTAATTCAAATTGCTCAATAAATTCCTTAACACGCTAAGATTTTTGTTCAAAAAATAATGATAGCTCATCTTTTACTTATGTGGAGGAGATAAGATCCAATGATTTGTCCTTTAGTAGAGGACATCTATAAGGTTACTCTCCTAATCTTATTATAATCATATATATAGTTTACATCTTTTTTATTAGACAAGAACTTTTGTATTATAATATAATTTTATATATAAAAAATGAGTAATGATACTTGCACTGATTTGTTGCACCGAATGTTTTTTATTAGTTATTTATGAATAGAACATGTAACCCACTTATTTATTTATGCATAAATAATCTGATTAAAATAAATAGGTTTGACAATTCATTACAACAAATCGCATAAATAAAGAAGTAGGACCCTCCACTTATATATACTATGCATAAATAACCAATCAGAAACAAAGTGCAACAAATCGGTGCAAGTATCATTAGTCATAAAAAAAAAATATGCAAACTTTTGTAAATATATGTCATTTGTCTTAATAGATCAAAGAATTCATCCAAATTTGCTACAACTAATGCGGATGTTTTTCCTAAGCATAAATTAATTCTTGTATAATTTCCTTTTATCTTCCAAGTATTTACCATATTATGTAAATGACATTCTTGATCACCCCCTTATCTTGGACTACATCTCTTTAACTTATATTTATAGTAATTAATACCATCTATTTCAACTTTTATAATTGTCAAACTTTTGGTTGTAATTAACACCTACTAAAAATTTCAGATTTGGACATAAATTTAACTCCTTAATATCAACTTTTAATATTGAGCAAGGTTTACATAGTTTATTTATTTTTTATTTTTTGGAATTATATGATTATAAGAAGGTTATTTTAGTATTTTATAATAAGGGCTTGGAAGATATTTTGGGCTTAATACTAATTTTTGATGCATTTGCAGTTATTTTATTTGATTCAATCAAATTGAAAAATAAAAACCCCCAGGACAGAGTTTGTGAAGGGGTCTCTAAGTGTTAGACAACCAGATCTAATCACTTGGGTGTGGATTCGATTCTCCTCCATCTTGACTTAAAATGTTATTTGTACTGTGAGGTCGGGGTGAATAGGCGGGGTTTACCTGGTAGTTACAAATCTAAAGAACGAATAGTTGTGAGAGTTCTCACGTCATAAAAAAAAAAAAATAATAATAATTAAAAGAAAAAGAAAAAAAAGTTTTAAAATAGTCTAATTTGTTATTTAAGACTCCTTAACACTAATTAGGTGTATTTTTCCCTTTATTTATTTATTTAGCAATTTATCTTATAACTTATAGTGATTTATGCATTCCTAATACACAATTTTAAATATTTTAGATAACTCTTTTTTGTTAAATAATTTTGTTATTTATTTATTTTTTTTATAAAAACAATTTACTCCTTCATCTATAAAGTTATTATTGTCAAATATGTTATGATAAAATTAACAATAAAAGTGTTTTTGAAAATACTATCATCAAAAAAATAAAAAAATAATTTAATTATTAAAAATACTTATTATAGTAATGTGTCTTCAAACACCAAATATAACATGTTTTTTTATTTATTTTTATTACAAACATTAATTTGTTTGTCAACATTATGCTGAACGAGCTCTACTCCAAACACCAAATATAACATGTTTTTTTTTTTTTTTTTTAACAAACATTAATTTGTTTGTCAACGCAATGCTGAACTAGCTCTACTTTATATTTAAGAACCTTAAAAATTTATTTGCTAGACTTGAATAAATATATATATATATAAAATAACATAAATTTATTGTCACCAATGATTCTACCCGAAAACAACTTATAGGAATTATTATTATCAAATATGGTACATCTTACTGTAAAATTAACGATAAAAGTGTTTTTGAAAATATTATCATCAAATAAATTTAAAAATAATTTAATTTTGAAAAGTTCCTTATTATAATGTGTCTTCAAACACCTAATATAACATGTTTTTTTACAGCCATTAATTTGTTTATCAACACTATGCTGAATGAGCTCTACTTTATATCTAAGAACCTTAAATTTATTTGCTAGGCTCAAATAAATATTTATGAGAAAAACGACATAAATTTATGATTCTACTCAAAACAATTTATATTCCAAAATATAGTAGGTTGCTACACGATTTTACCATCATAACAGTGACTTTAATGGAATTAGAATTGAAAAAAATATTTAGTTTAATTTTTTGAATTATTATTATTTTTTAATTCTATCAATTCCAATTTCAAGACTCAAACCTTAATTTCATGGACAATTGATTATATTTTCAAACGATTTTTCATTAATCCCGATAAATCTAACTAATTGGAATTGTAAATAAATTTATATGATTTGGATCGAATAAAAATTTATGTATGTGAGTTCAAAAGACATGCTGGCTGGATTTAAATTATTATTTTTTTAATGTCATGTATCAGGGGAAAATGAAAAAGAGTGTGACAAATCACTGTTTTTACACGAGAAAGGGTATTTTAGTCAATCCACAAAACCATATAATCATGCAAAACTCCCCTGATTCCTCCACCTTGGTTTTTAGGGTTTTCGTTATTCCGGTTCTATAGAGAACATTCGTTCATACGAAGTGCCTACAATAAATTTTTTTTTTTCTCTATGGCGCAGGTAATTTCTAATTCATGCAAAACTTTACCCTAATTTGAAAGATCAAATCCAATGGTCTTTTTCTTTCAACAAAATTTTTTTTCTTCGTTATTTCTACAGAGTTCTTTTCCCTAGATAGGGGACAAAAATTGAAGTTTTATGTTGGGAAGCATCAAATGGTTTAAAGTGTTCATCTTTATACGAAAGACTTTCCAGGGAATAAATTTTCATCGAAAGAACTCAAGAATTTTCGTACAGTGTACTGTTTTTAGATTTTTCTTCGTTATTGGGTTTCAGCTGAGTAGGTTTATTGGTTCATATAAATGTTTCTTTATCACTCACTGAGTCGGAGCACTCCCTGTTTTTTGCAATGTGCTTGAAATTTGGTATAGATGTATCGATGTTTTTAGCATGTTCAAGAACCCCACAAAAGAAAATTGAAAGCAAAACCCAAAGTGGTCTCCGTTTCTAATTTTTTTTTTTTTTGAAACATATTAAATGAAACCCAACTATGTTAGCAGGTTAAGGTACAATTAGTGACTTACTGTCTCCTACTCTGAGTTGACTTCTTGTCTTTACTTTTTTGATAACATTCTCTATATTATTTTTCTTTTTTTATTTTTTCTTAATAACTTTATTGGATCAATGTTGTCATGCTTTTGCAGATGAGCCAATCACCAGATCATCATTCAACGGACCATCGTAAGTCTCTCTCTATCTCTATATATAAATACACAGGTTGTGTGTGTGTGTTTTCTAGTAACCTTCTTCCGCAAACAGATTGTTATCCAACTGAATTTTGAAGAAATATTTTTTTTTCCCATCCATGCTCTGACTCCCATGAACTATTCTAGATAAGTAGTCTTATAGCAGAAACAAGCTGACTAAAATTTTTAGTTGGCTAATTTAACATATATGTACATTCTAGTAACTATGTTCTATGCCCCCTCACACACACATACTTACATTTATATATGGACTTTTTGTTTTGCTTCTATTTTTTTTACTATGCATTATTAATGTGAATTTGTATTTATTGTCGACTCTTTTGTTTTACTAATGGTTCATGTTTTATTGGTTGAGAAGAGCATGCAGCCAAAGGTTCAGAGGTTTTCGTTGGTGGTCTGGCCCGTACAACAACTGAAAACAAGATACGCGAGGTTTGTCATCTGCTCATATATTGCTGCTTTTTGTTATTTTTTGAAATGAGTTATACTGTGATATTAAGACTTAACCAACGGCCAGTGGCCTAGCGGTATAAGGCCCTTACTTCCCAAAGGGAGGTTAGGGGTTCAAGCCTCAGGTGAGACATGTGTATGAGTACCAACTAAGAAAAAAAAATATTAGGACTTTTTCAAGATTATGCCCTTAGCACTTGCAATTATTTTAGTAATTCACCTTGTTTCATCTGTCTCTGATACTGCTTGATCATACTGGATGACTCATGAAATTTTAAGTGTGCATTTGTATGAAAGGAGTCAGAAATATAGGGAAGGATAGGAGAAGGAGGGAAGAAGGGAAGGAGGAACGGCTTATTCGTGTTTGTTTTAGAGATGAAGGGGGAAAGAAAAGAGGTTGGGTTGAGAATGAGGGTTGTTAACACCTCAAACAGTGTGTTGGCCCTTGGCTAAGCTCCCACAAGTGGGAGGAAACAGCGGGAAAGGCTAAGGAGGCACCAGTTTCCCACAAGCCATCACCACTGCTGCTTGTGTCAATGCCTCTTTGTTGGAGGAAATTGGACGGGCAATAAATTTTTTCTTAAGTTTATTGTCTTTTACTGTACATTGTCTATAATTATATTTCATTACCACAATTATGCTAAGCTTAACTCTTTATGTTGTTATAAATTTTATTTCTTAATTATTTACCCATATGGGCCATATACAAATATATAAATATATATATGAAGGTCAATAACTATACTCTGGTTTTCCTTGTAATGTTCTTGTGTGTGTGTGTGTGTGTGTGTGTCTATTTCAGCATCTCCGACTGATCCAATAAAAGTTCAAACATTAGATGATAATAGTGAGAACTACTGGAACTATGACTTTTGTTACTAGTGTTCGGTTCAACCATATTTTGGAAGTTCTCAATAGAGGGTCTTCACCGTCTCAAATATGTAATGCTTCTACGTACATATATCTAATGGTACAAATATTATTATTATTTTTAATAGTCATGACAATAGATAACAAACATTCTTCTAAATTTCCAAATGAATGTCTATGATACAATGGCCTAAGAAAAGGGTAGAAGAAGAAAATGATGAATCACTTGAAGTTTTCTTCTCTCTTTTAAAATGAGATAAGTGGGTAAAGATACTAAAATGTTGGTGTTAGTTCTAAATCAAATAACCTGCAACCTATTTACTAGGCTTTCTTTATTTTACCTTTCCTTCTGTTTCAGGTATTTTCTACTTGTGGGGAAATCACTGAAATACGCATGATGAAGGACCAGGGAGGCAACTCAAAGGTTTTAGTTTATTATAATTTTTTCCTACTTGTCCTTGCTTTGGATACTTTGATTTATGCTTCCCCATCTTTTTCATTAAATCAATTTGAGAATTTGTGTTCCTTTTCATTAAATCAATTTGAGAATTTGTGTTCCTTTTTATTTGTTACAGGGGTTTTGCTTTGTAAGGTTTTCAATGAAAGAGAGCGCTGTTAAAGCTGTGAAAGAAAAATCTGGATTTATGGTAAGGGCATATGATGACAAATTAGGCAAATGGATGGCATGTTATTTGGAAAGACCTACTTAACGTCATAAATTTTATAATAAAAATGAAATGAATATTTTTTTCGTTGAGACATAATTTCCTCTCCCGCATAAGAATGATCAAATTGCAAGGCGTGCCAAGGATTATGAACTTTGAAACATGGTGAAAATAAAGTGACAACTTTTCCAACCTGTATGAGCTAGTTGCCTAACTTCTTTGAAGTAGCCACTATCTACTGACGATAATATTTCTAACATTGTAACATAGTACATGACACACCACCCGAATCTCTTTTTCAAAATTAGTTCTTCTGGAAAGGATAAAGAAAATTATTAAGGGCAAAACTTTGCTTAACTAATTTAAAATGAAAGATATGGTGTATCATGTGTAGGATTGTTTTTTCCGTGGTCTCTCCCTTGTAGAAAATTTACCTAGTTTTCTAGCAAGGTAGAATATTCACACTCATATGCTATAGTGGCATTTTGCCACGCTGCTATAATCTAGTGTTGCTTTAGTCACTTGAGAAGAGACTTTTGGTTTGTGAGACCTTTGGTTGTGCATAATTTGTGGTTTGTAATCTTGTTTGCATTATATTTCTCTCATTTGGCAGTGCTCTGATTTTCTTTTTCTTTAATGGAGATAAAAGTAAATTGGGCTCTGCATGACATGTTATTAGATTTTTGTAGTATCGTGTTCTGCAATTTTTATTTTTATTTTCTGTGCACTTCCTTGTTGAGGTAATGAGGTATAGCTATCTTGTTGGTTTAAAATGTGATCAAGGCATGAAAAATAGTAAGTTGTAGTTGTAAAATTTCACAAGGATCTAAATGACTGCCATTTAAAGTAGAACTTTGAGGAAGATGTAGCTCAACATAGGTCTATTTGAGGACCTTTTTATTGTTTTTCCCATTTTTTTTCTCCGCAGAAGAGAAAAAGGGGAGAAGGAAGAAAGGGGGGGGGGGGGGGGGGGGTGTTTGGTGGAGGAGAAATCAAAGCTGACATGGGCTGAGAGAGATGGTAAGTAAGATATTATAGTTTAGACTGTTGCTTTAGTAAAGCAAAATGCAAAAATTGGATTCATGTAGCTGACCCCAGATAGTTGGGAAAAGGATTGGTGTGTTGAGATAATTTATGTTTTTAAGGACAAACTAAAAAGGAAGGAATAATTGAAGGTACAAGAAAAGAATATATTTGTCTTATGGATTAAATTGGATTATATAGGAAGTTAGTGAATGGTTAGGCTTTCTAAAATAGTCTGCAAATTGTTCTGGTGATCAATTAATGATTGAAATCACTTGACAAAGGTGAATTAATTCGTTAATTGTTGAAACCACACTCTGAAATTGGTTTAGATAGGTTTAATTTTTTTTTTTAAAATTGTTGAATTCTCATATGTTAATTTGATTGTATTAATCATTTTTTTTTTTCTTTCACTTTAGAAGATATGTAGAACAAATCTGTTATTAATCTTCTTGGGCTTTCGTGTCACAGCTAGAGGGAAAAAAGATCGGTGTTCTCCCATCAACAAATAAGGATTCTTTGTTTTTAGGGAACCTTCATAAAGGTTGGTTTCATTTAAATATATTGCAATTTATAGCATCCAAGGGACATTTCCAAATGCCAGGCATTGTTTGATTAGTATTTTGGAAATTCTTTGCTTGCATGTCAGAGCAATAACTAAAGTGATGGGTTACTTGTCTGCTCAGCTAAGGACTTCTCATTTGTGTGTGCAACGTTGAACCAATTCTAATTATGACCTCTAAGCCAAATGGGGTGTTACTCGAGTGGTATCTTTTAATTGTCCATCCTCTCTTTCTCCGTCCCTCTCTCTCTCTTTATTGAAACAAAAATCCGCTTCTTGTATTCATGAGGTTGTTGTTTGCTCTTCTTTGTTGATTATTTGTTTCTTATTTGTCCTGAGAAAATCTAATCTTCTTTTGTACTTCCTATTTTTGATAATGGGTTGTTCCATTCTTTCTTTTTTCCTTTTATTTTATTTTTTTATTTATAATAAAAGACATTAATTTTTTTCCTTTTTCATGTCGAGCAATGCATTCTTTCACTGTTATTTACACACTTGTGCTTCATTTCTCTTTTTCACCTCCAATACATATTTATTTGGTTCTGTTCTTGCTTGTCAGATTGGAGTGCAGATAATTTTGATAAAATAATACGCCAGGTATGCATTTTAGTTGCATATGAATTTTTACAAAATTTTACATGGGCCGTATGGGAGTAATTTTTTATTTTTTTTGCTGTATAGGTTTTTCCAGACGTTGTATCGGTTGATCTTGCAACGCCCTTGAGCAGTGGAGACACGAGTCTTGGTCAAAAGCAACAAAATAGGGGTTTCGCCATTGTGAAATTTTTGTCATATGCTGTAAGTTGCCTTCCCTTTTGTTCTTGGTGTCTTATAATTCATAAATCTATATTTGAATTCTTCCTTCGTAGCATTAATATGAATCACCTGTTGCTTCTCAAATCGTACAGGGTGAAAGCTCAGATTGATTCGTGGTTCTGATTCTTGGTTCCAGCATCGTTTTTGACTCTTCTGTAATTAAAAAGAATCCAAAATTTTCTTAAAAAGCTTTCCAAAGGGTTAATCTTGAAAAAGAAACTTAAAACTTAAAATTTAATTTAAAATATTATATTATTTTACTTTTGATAAATAAAATGTTAAAAATATCACAAATGCCTTACTGCAATAGTAACTCGCAACAATTTTTGAAATTTTTCTGAACTTTGAAACTGTCTTAGTTTGTTTCTATAGGTTTTTTTTTTTTTTTTTTTTGGCATATAATTTGGTTAATTTCTATTTCTATCTGGCTATTCCATCTAAACAATCTGTCAAATAAGCATTCTGGTGCATTAATTCAATCACTGAACATGTCCTTGTGCAATAAAACATTTGTACTAATTCCATTATTGGATCTCATGATTCACTAGCTCATGGTTGTCCATCTGAAATAGTGTTTATTCTCTTTATTTCTCATTGTCCTTGTGGCATTCAATATGTTATTTTTTCTCCAAGACAATTTGATCTTCTGCTTTGCTTGTGATGTTATATCCAAATCATGATTGGTTCAATAAGTCATTTCGTTTTATTGTACATTTGATTTTCCTCAGATATGGAAGGATTTTATTCCATCTATATGTGTTCTGTTTTTTGGTACCCTTGCGGCTTCTTCTTTTTTTTTTTTTTTTTTTCAAATTATGTTTCGGTACATCAATTTCTCTTCTGTAGTACTTATCAAAATTTTTTATTTTTTATTTTCTCTTCTGTAGCATTCTTTTGCTTTTCGTATAACCATTCTAGTAACCATTTGATTCAACTTAATCCAGAGAAACACATAGCTAACGAGGAAGTGCTTTTCACTTCAATGGGAACCAAATTAAGTTCCTTTGTTATCCCACTAGTTATTTGTTTTCAATAAGCTAATCATCGTGCTTCCATTTGATAATCAATCCCTTGGGTATCATTTTAAAAGTTCTTGGCCCTTTGGATGCTAATATTTGGTTTAATGAACTCCAAACTTCATATGATATTATAAAATCCTGTGAATCTTATAATGACAATTAATAAACAGTTTATGTGAACAATTCTGGATAATCCATTTCAAATGATCTGTTGAAATTTACATAGTTATTATTTATTAATGAAATATATGAAAGTAAAAAGTTTAAGTTATCTAATATTATCAACGGTTTCCATTTCTTCTAGTTTAGTTCTGTAATGTGGCAAATGTGTATAATGTCGATTGCTGCAACAATTTTACCAAACTTGGTGGGGGATTTAATCATTCCATACCGTTTGGGAGAAAAGTTAATCTTATTGCTATTTTCTTGTCACAGTCTTTTCTTCAATTTAAGGTGTTCTCTCTCCAAATTCATGCAATGAATTCCTTTGGAGATTTATCATTTTCTTTGTTGAGGCCACGGTTCACTTTTTTCCATATTCGCACCATTCCATGTGACCCAGTGTATGGTTTTTTTTTTTTTCCTTTCTATTAACCCTGATTTTTCTCACCGTTTTTGGAGAACTTATAATGCGCTTGCACTTGTTTGTTTAGAGGTACTAGTGCAGGGTCTCTCATGAATCACTTGCCATCTAGGGTTTCCTTACTGATCTTTTGTTTCTCTCTTTATGTCAGATGTGTTCTTAAGTTGGCTTCATCCTTGATGTTGTCATGACACTGCTGCACCTTTTGGCTCTATTGTTAACTTAATCAGTACTACTCTACCATAAGTTATTTGAAATTTTCTTCTTTTCCTATTAAGTGAACATAATAGATCCCTCAGTGCTCAATTTATCGCACTAGTACCTTAGTTTCGTACACTCTACTTTTTTTAAACTAAGATTTGTGCAATCTCAAATTAGACTATTGCTTTCAGATTAGCATCATTAAGTAGTAGAAACACTGATCATAATTCAACATTTTTTTAAGTGAAAAATATGGGAAGCGCCCTAGTAAATGGTATGAATCTTATATTATAGACTTCAAGAGGGGCGATTAGATCACCTTCTAATTGTTTCTTTTACGTTTGATAGTTACTGTCTGACCTATAGTTACAAATTTCTCCTTTAAATCAGGAGCTTTTTATTTTGCTTATTATTGATTCATCTTTGACGTACCTCCTAATTACCACCCATTGTAAGCTCAATTGTTGATCTTCACATCATCAGTTGCTTCTCACAATCCGCCTCTTCCCAAAATCCATTTTCAGCTTCTCATGGATCATTAAACACCTGCTGTTATGTGCAAAAACGCCAACGGACTAGTCTTTGAGAAGATTAAGTTGCAAGAATATAGTTTCTCTTACCCGATACATGAATTCTTTAAGAATGATCAACCAAAAAACTAACAATAAGCTCTTCTGTGTGCTAAGGTCTGTATTTTTTCTAGGTAGTTTTAGAATTAATAACTAAATACTATTTATAGAATTTCGATCAGTCCACAGATTTAGTTTAATCAATCCATAACTTCATGGTGAAAGTTTGATCAGTTGAATGTAAGCTCTCTCAATTGAGAGCTTTTGGTTTATGTTCAATCAATTTCAGTTATTTTTGTAGTTTATGTTTAATCCAAACTAGTCAAAATAACTTAAAATCATTCATTAAATGGGATCTACTAGATCTTGTGCCCGGTCCACAAAACTAAATAAGCATCGTATACCCAACTCTAATGCATTGAAGAATTACCTGATGGAACACTCCGACAGCATGTCTTTAATCTTTAATTACATCTCTTCAATCCCATGCAAACATTTCACTTACTCAATAATATGACCTAATTTTATCAATTTGATTACAGTCGTCCGTGAAATATGCCATAACTTGTTACTATGTCCTAGCAGTTTTTTAAACAATCTTTCAGTGTTTTAGTTGAGAGTTGAATAGGGATAACTAACTGATAAATCGGATATATCCAACGTCTAATTTGATTTCTTCATTAGCAGATTGGTCCTTTTTATGCATATTTCTAGTCATCATTGATAATTATTATTCCACCTTTTAGAGCTCTTGGGGCTGAATTATGTCATGTGATGTTACAATCCATTTTCCTTTGGATCAGTTCTGCCTATATCTATTTGAAATGTCGTATTTCAGATCAATGTTCTTTTTCCTATTAACAACTGTATCTTGTTCAGATCAGTTTTATAGCCCTCCACAAATGTAATATCTAATCCAACAGTGACACGATTTTGCAGAATGGTAATAATAATATTTGAACCTGAATGAATCTGTGTAACTCATAACTTTATCTTCACCACTTCTTTTCTCCAAAAATCTAGAGCATTGATGCATTAACCTTGCATCTTTGTCAACCAAACTAATTTGCCTTTAATATGTGAACTCTACATCAAGTAGTCAATCTTTACTGCTAATATAGTCATGTGGAGAATTATCAAATCAACAATCATTCCATCCTTGCTTTTAGAAATTTTGAACCCCCTCCTTGGAAACTCTCAATCACAGGCTGCAGCACGAGCATATAGGGCAGGGTCCAAACCCGAGTTTCTTCTTGCTGGAAAGTGTCATCCAGTTGTAAAGTGGGCGGAAGAGGAACCTGAAGTCGATCCAGATGAACTTGCTAAGGTGAACCATCCATATTCTTTTGAAATATAAAGCCCAGGTTCTCTCTATAGTCTGTTAGCTGTAGCTTATTTTATTGGTCATTTTTGGACTTTACAGGTAAAAATAGCATTTGTTAGAAATCTTCCGACAGATTCTGATGAAGATTACCTGAAGGAGTTATTTGAGCCTCTTGGACAGGTGTGATGGTATACAATCTTGATTTCTTTATATATAATGATGTGTTTAAGTATTAATTATTGCTTTAAATCGCCAATCTTTCAGTTGGATAGAGTGGTGCTATCCAAGAAGAGTCGCTCCCCAGTCGGGTTCATTCACTTTGCTTTACGATCAGTAAGTTGCATGTTACTTCTATTTTCACTCTTTTATCTTTTTCCTTTCAGCATCTCTTCAACTGAATTTAGTCTTAATTCTCAATTTTGGGGATGCCATTATGTTTTAACCCTCCATATTTTCTGTGCGTAGGACCTTGATATTGCAATCAAGGAAATGAATGGAAAAACAGTCCAAGGACCAAATGGGGGCCCTTCATTTAAGCTCGTGGTAATTTCAATCTAACAACTATCCTTATGTTTTAAACTCATCGATTTGCAGTGAATTAAGAATATATCTTGGAGTTTCTCTGAAGGCAGACGCGTATTATGTTAATAGGTGGAAGTTGCAAGGCCTATAGAGAAAACTCGGAAGCGACCTTATGATGATCCTCAAAGCAAACCAGCCAGTAAAATTCCAAGTTATTCCCAACAAAGGGATGATCAGATCTCTAGTCCCCCTTGTGGTTCTAAATCCAAAGCTCCAAAAGTGAATATTTCACTACAGGTTGATTTCTTGTTTTCCAAATAAATTTTCTTCTGTGTTCTGTATTACTATGCTTTTGAGAATTTAGGTTTGTTTCAACCAGACCATTATAAAACTATGTAGCATGTTGTACAAAGATGTGTTCCCAAACATTCTAGCTAATTAGTTAATACTTGGCATCACGTCTCTGTCGTATTATACTCCATTTGGCTGAGCTTTCGAACACCACAAGTGCTTTCACAAAAGGCCTTCACAGAAGTACTTCGTTCGAAGGAATTTGAAAAGACAATGTTAAAAATTAAATTTTAAAACAAAGCGTCATTCTACTTGCATAAATTACGTTTGATGATGAAGTAGAATAATTTCTACATGACAATATTATCCTTTAGTTTTAGCAATTATTCTTGTTACTAATTTTCAAATCTGTATCAAACGGATATGAAATAAGAAATATGTTTTACCAGGGAACATGTGCTTACTTGTTTTCGGAGTAAGGGCGGAGTTGGGGCGGGTTTGGCTAAATCCTACTCCGTCTCTTTAGAAAATTTGTCATATCAACTCCGCCCCTACTCCGAAACGGGTTTGTAATTGTTATACCATCCCCGCTTCTACTTTGTTAGACAAAATACCGACTCTGCCCCATGCACTTTGTTTAATTGTGGGGCGCAGTGGGGGCGGGTTGGGTTATGCCACTTTTATTATGTAGTAAAAAAAATAACTAGCCCAATGTGTTCAAATTGGACTGATAAATAAGTTGATATAACTTTTAAATTATTAAATAATAAATATTAATATATTAACGGACACTTCCAGCAAAGTAACAAGAATCTTAAAAATATTAAATATATATTTTATATATATAAAAAAATTAAAATGTACATATATAATCAGGGCGGAGTCGGGGTGGGCTCATCACTAAATCCGCCTCTGCTCCAAACCTGCTTCGGGTTTTCAATTATTTTACCATATCCATCCCAATCCCATTTAGGGGAACACCAAATCCACCCCATTAGGGGTGGGGTTGGGGCGAAAACCCGCAGGTTGGAGGAAATTGCCATCCCTAACACTAAATGACAAGAAATAAAAGAATAAAAGCACTGAAATAGCGAATATATAGATGAAAGACATAATAAACCCTAGTTCTAGGTTAAGAAAGCTTAGTAAACAAAAGTCATCCTAGTCAATACAAATCAATGAAATAATATATTGAATCAACCTTGAAAAATAGAGGTAAATTGCATGATGGCTGTCGGCAAGGAATTTCCCACAATTTATATGATTGTGATGGCTTTTTGGATATTTTGAAATAATAGGCAATCTTGTCAATGCATGAGTAGCACATGGACAAATTAGTAAAATAACAATTTTTACTTGGAAAGAAAATCTGGCTTCCTAAACGGAGGTCCTAAAACTAACATATTTTTTTTTACTTCTTTGAAATGAACTTCCTTTATCACTCCGGCTTCCGGAAAAAGTACTTTACATTTGTATAGAATTTTGAAACTTGGAAGGACTTTTGAAGGTTTTAGGAAGATCCCCTGAATGGGGCCTTTAAAAGGAATTTTGAAACCTGGAAGGACTTTTCAAGGCTTCAGGAAGCTCCCCCAAATGGGGCCTTAGTAATTGAACTGTTGGTGTGCAGAAGCTTTTTTTCATTTCAAGATTAGTTTGGCACTTGGAAATTAAGTGGAAAAGTACATAAAAATTAATGTGAAAAATCACAATGATTTACATGTTTTTTTTTTTTTTTTTTTACCCTGAATGGTGTTGGAATTTCGTAAAAGAAAACTCAATTTTATTAAACACAAGGATTTACATGGTTCACATACATTAGGACCGAAATTTTACATTTAAACACAAGGACCATTCAGTTTGAGTCCTAGGCTGGTCCTAAATGGGACCTTTTGTGATTAAGGTATGTCTTATAACCCGATTCGGAATAAATTCAACACTTATTTAATTAAATGCGCTTGATAACGCGATAAGGATACTACTTAAAAGAATAAGTGCCACTGAAAATAGGATAAAAATTGAAGAGATGGAGACTTCACTTAACACTGAACACTAAAAAGTTAAAAAAGTAGTTTCCCTGTGATTAAGGTACTGTATAACCCAATTCAGAATAGATTCAATACTTATTTAATTAAGTGCGCTTGATAACGCAATAAGGATACTACTTAAAAGAACAAGTGCCACTGAAAATAGGATAAAAATTTAAGTGACGGAGACTTCACTTAACACTCAACACTAAAATGTTAAAAAAGCACCAAAAAAGTTCTTAATTTATGTTTTAGCACTTTAAAATTTCATCAAACAACTCCTAAGTTTAGCCATTATATGTCAGATCTTACGTCCTCTCTTATCAAGAAAAAAGAAATATCTTATGTTCTCCAAGTCCATTATACTGGTTCAGTTTTTTGTGTTTTCTTATTGTATAGGATTAAGTATACTTTTGTAATCATAAAAGCTACTGGACATGGGGTGCAGTGGTGCTTAATGGGTGTTATTTTGGGTCAATTTATGTTATTGTGTCTGTATTTATGGTCTCAGTTGGTTTAGATGAGATATATGAGTATTTGCCCGAGATTCTAATTGGGTCTGTATTTATGTCCTAGTTAGAGATGGAGTGACCAACAGCCTGTGTAAACCAGTTTACTCTTTCAAGTAATTAATTATTTATTTTTTTGAACTATTTCCTTTTTGACAATTTTATGGACCTGATAGAGGTGATGTTTGAAACTCCAATCTCCTAGTAAGAACCCCAACTCAAAAGCATCTGAAACAATTTGAGATTTTGTGATGCAACCATAATTGTCGATATAAATCCTAACGGATTCTAGGACTTATTTGTGGATTCTGATTTTTCATCATCATCTTCTTTTGCTGCTCCCCCTCCTCTAGTTTTATGCACTTAATACTTATAATCAGTTTCAGCCCCCAAAACTCTACATTGATTGGTGCAATGATTTCCCCTGTTAATTAATAAAAATCCAAGCTCGGAAAAAGTTCTGTTAATTAAGGGGTTCGGCCGGATTACGAGATCCTGCCGGTCAACCAATTAACGCCTAACTTTCTTGGGAGCTGAGTATTGGCACGTTCTGAGGAATTTTGGCGATTTCAATGACATCAGATCCGATGATGAAAAGATTGGAATCTTCACCCCAAAGCTCATGACCCTAAATTGTTCTACTTAAAAAATATTGCCTTTAGTTTTTGCACTTAAATACTTACAAACGGTTTCAACTTCTGTACATTAAGCACGCCACTATTAATTCTGATAGAGTCTACCATTATGTTCTTTTTGTGGGGAATGTTGGCTAATTGAAGGATTTTAAAGATTGTCACTCGGCGTGATGAGTTGCAGGTGTGCTTGCAAGTTAAATGCTATTTCTATGTTTCCCTGATATTTTATGGTGTATTTGCCTATTTAAAGAATAACTAGATTCTTGTAACGCCATTAGTCACTTTAATTTAATAATAGTTGAATTAGTTGACACAGTAACATAATTCTGTGGTAATTTATCTTATAGTAACGTCTATTTGAACGAAATAAAAGCATTTACATATCGAATGGTTCATAATAGTGGAAGATCAAATTGATGTATTTTGGTTGGTTATTTTTTTTTTTTTTCTTTATTTTGTAGGTTTGTATTAATAATAGTTGCATCAACATTACATATCAAGGGAAAAAAAGAGAGAATAAAAGTTGCATCAAGGGACATTCATAGTCAGCAGTACTTTATTCTGTTCGAGAATTGAGTTTCTCCTCTTAATAATTTCAATGGCCCTAGGCGGTCAATGTTACTACCTATCTTCTGCTGGATGCCTTTCTGTTGCCTTTTGTTTTTGTTCTACATGCCACAGTGTTCTGCTATTAATTTTATTTATTTATTTTACTGCCAGGAGCCTGTGGTTACTGATCCATATGAAGCTGCTGTAGTCTCATTGCCTGTGGCTGTTAAAGAGCGTTTACTCCGAATCTTACGGCTTGGTATTGCTACTCGATTTGATGTAAGTCCTAAAAGAACTTGTATTTCAATTGATGGCATTCCTTTGTGCCATATCTTGCCCACACTGCCACCCCCACCCCCCTTTCCCTTTTTTTTTTTCTTCCTGGAAATTGCCATATCTACCAGGTTGTAGCCCATATGCAGTTGCATGTGATTGTGCTTACATTTATCTCCAGTTCAACAAGTTATTCTGTAGTTACTTAAATTTTGATCTTTTTTATTGGCAGATGGATATTCAATGTCTAACCAGCCTCAAGGAACTACCTGAATCTACTGCTATATCTGTCCTTGATCAGGTCTAGCATAGTTACATCTCCTTCCAAATTTTTCCTTTAAAATTCTTACTGAGGTTGCTCCTATATTTTAACGCCTTCGTTGGCAAATTGAATACCTGATGCCAATGCTCGTAATTTTTGTTTCATGATTTCTTCTTTCTTTATCTTTCTTTGTAGTTCATGTTATCAGGGGCAGATAGGCTTAATAAGGGAGCATACCTTGCTGGGTTAATTTCTAGGGTAAATCTCTTTCCTCCATGAATGTGAACATAATAATGCTTCCAACTATATTACCTGTTGTAATGATATAAGTAAAATACTTTTTGTACTAAAAATCAGTCTCGGGTACAGCACCAGGTTGATAATCTGGGACTCAATCAACAAACTTCAAATACGTCAAGAATAGGGGATATTGCCTTTATGGAATCAAAACTGTCCAGCATTTATAGTAGAGTTCCTGTGCCAGCTGCCGATCCTCTTTCCTCTCGTGTAAGCTCAACTATGAGCAGGTTAGCTTTTTATATATTCAGTCTCCTGCTCATATAGTTTATTTCACTCCCATTGGTCTCTCAGTAAAATATATTTGACAAGAAAATAAAAGAAATTTTTGTGCTGTACGAACTAGTTTAAATTGTATTATGCAGTCCGAGCTTTACCCTTGCTTGGTGCAGTCGTAAAAGCTAGTAGTAATTTCAAATGTTAGATTTATAGAGCTTCCATTCTTCCCAGCACCCTCGACCCATAAGGAGAACACTAGGTGATGGACTTTTGTTGCCTGTATTACTCTGGTTGCCATCTAATAGTATTTTCCGAGTATTTTATAAATTTGACAATATGGTAATACTTTGATCCTCAAGATATGTTTGACATTTCAGAAAAAAATCCTCCAATTTAAAGTATTCACTTTCTTGTAGATTAACATGATTTTTAATTTTAATTTTTTAAAAAAGGTCTTGAAACAATTAAAATGATGCAGGGCGAAACTTGAATCAAGTAAACAACTCTATATAGTTGGGTCAAGGCATTGTTGAATTAAGTTGAGTAAACAATTAATTTGATGTCGCAAATTTGAAGCTTCAAATGATGGTTGCTGCTTTAATATTATACAAGAGTAAAGATTATCCCTCGACTCCAATAGAAGTATAGTATAGTGGAAAAAAGGTTAATGTAGACTTGAACCTCTACTCGAAAAATAGTAAAGTTGTATCCAATAAATGTGCAAAGATGTAAACATCTGCAATCCTTGTTCATCCCTTTGCTTTCATGTATTTGAAATCATAGACTTAATATAATTAAGACAATTATGGGATGACTGTTTAGTCATAGAGTTGGAAAGTCAAGCTGCGGTCCCAAAATCCTCTTTTATACTTGGCTTGATTTACATTTTCAATAGACATTAGGCTTTGAGAAGAGGTGAATAGATCCCTTTCTAGTTTTTCTCTAATTTATGCTCCCTTTGTTTTATTGAACACAAACTCAAATCAAATAAATTTACAAGATATAAAGCAAAATAACACAATCAAGCAAACAACTATGGACACATGATCTAGTGCAGAGAGAACAATGCACTAAGGAGTCAAAATAGTACAACCTTACCTTTCTACTGCACTAACCTAGAACCACTCATTGATTGAACCAAGTCCGAACAAAATTTACCCTAGGCAATTCATCCTTGAGCTATGTTGTCTTTTAATTGAGAGAAAACTACACTTACATAGAGTTAGGAGCATTAAAAAACAAAATGGTCTATTTTAAAAGTTCATTTTTTACTTTGGTTAAATTAAGTAAAATAATTACATATGCATGAATAACTATTGTTTAAGTCCAAAATACCTCTCCAAACACTTATTCCAAAATACTAAAAATTATTCCCCTTAAATCAAGTACTTTCTTAAAATAATTTCTTTACTTGAAAAATTTAGGAAAATAAGATATTTCCTTTAACTTTGAACCATATTACTGCAACTTTCATATATACACACGAGAACTTATACATATAATAAAAAAGATTCAATATAGTAAAAAATGGGGCAATCAAAGATTAGTCCCCAAAAAGAAAAATATAATTAAACTCAAGAATATATAAATCGTCTTTGCTGCGGTGCATGCCTTGAGATGATCATCAATATTTTGGCTCAATTAATTACACTTGTTTTGTAAATAAAAAAAATGATTGCTGGTGTACCATTTGCTGAAGCAACCATTTAATTTTTTCATGATCTCCCTCTCCCTTGCGTGTGTAGTGTATGTATATATATGTATATATATTTTTTCATATGAAAGTTTTCACATTTGCAGGTTTATATTGGTATGAATTAGGAGATATGGTTAAAGTTATGTGCACATAAAATTATATATATATATATATAGGATGAATTTCCACTTACCGAAAAATAAAATTCTATATATAATGAATTTCCACTAAATTATTTGTATATTTCTAAATTGACATTTGCAGGTTTGAACCGATATAGATTAAGAGATACTGCTATAGTTTTTTGCACAAAATTTATAATATATATATATATATATGTTGTTTTTTATTTTATTTATTTTGGTTATATATATACCATATGCAAAAATGCCAAGTTGAAAGTCAATTAAAAAATCGAGTTTTTCTAAATTTCATGAATGAAAGAATTATTTGATTTAGGAAGGATATTTTGGTATTTTGAAGTAAGAGTTTGGAGGGTATTTTCGACCTAAATAATAGTTTTTAATGCAGATGTAATTATTTTTCTTAACTCGACCAAATTGAAAAATTAAGTTATTTAAGGCTCCTAACTCCTAAATCTACTTAAGTGTAGTTTTCCCTTTAATGAATCTGTTTCCACGTGATCCATCCTTGCCATTTTCAGTGATTGTTTGTCCTATTCTAATTGTCCAAGCCTTTACAATCTCGTTTATGCTGCTTGAGACTATCTTATCAATAAGCAAGGGAAGTCTCAACCCCACAAGTGTACTCATTAATTATGTATGCTTGTAATAAAAAACTTCTTGTAGAATTTTTTTAAAAAACTTTAGAAATATGGGAGATCTTTATGAAGAAAAGTCTCTCACAAGTTCTCTTATTTTCTCATGCATCACTCTCTCAAAATCATAAACAATATATCTATATGCGAACTTGTATGTGTAACCAAAACCTTACGTTTTTGAACTTGGAAACTGAATTGGAATGATTTAGGGAAGGTTGAATCAATGCAAGACATGCTTTAGAATTAGATATTTTTGGAACTGTCAATCTGAGAACTGGTGCTCAATTTGAGTAGCTAGTTTCTCACTTCTTTGTGGCGCTAAATACTTGGGCCCAGTATTTGCATGTCTAGTTACCCACCTCACTTGAGCATTGAATGCCGGTGCTATAAATCCTGACAATTGATGCTGACCGGCATAGTACAGCATAGTTTGGGTAAAAACAATTGAAAAATTCTTTGAACCATTTCAAAACAAATCTAATTTTTTTTAAAACAGTATCTTAACATTCCAAAACAAATATTGTAAGGGACTAAACATGGTAATGCAAATTTCCTGATCTAGCATGTAAGATATGAGAGGTTCTTTGGCCTTCAGAGATCTTCAGGTTAACAATGTGATTGTGGGCTATTGTCTCATGTCACTAACAATCTTCAAATGACTCGAGACTCAAAATAAATAAAAATTACAAACTCAAAACTTTCCATGCTAGATCTATCATCATACAGTGACACTAAGGCCTCACAAAGCAACGACTATATTAAACATATCTTTGTCTCTCTCTCTCTTTACCATCTTATAGCTTGAGATTTTTTCTTTTTTTTTTTTCTCTCCTTTTTAACTACTGGTTAGCCAATGAAGAAGTGTATTTAAACGTCTTGTGTGTTGTGTCCTTAGCCTAATTTTAATTTCTGTTGATAATAAGCAGCTTCTTTCCATAGTTTTGTTTATCCAAGTTGGTTCCTTGCAGGTATGACCATTACACATCTCGATATTCCTCACTGCTTTCAGATTATCCTTTATCTAGTCGGGCAGGTTATGTAAAATTGGAGGAAAGTAGTCCGTCCTTGTTGCACCGAACACCAGGGTCTTCTACACCTTATGGCACAGTTGGATTGGATTCTCAGCTTACAGGTGCTACTGATCGTCAACCCAGCCGACCCCAAGTAAGGTTTGATCCCTTTACAGGTGAACCTTACAAATTTGACCCTTTCACTGGTGAGCCAATTCGTCCGGAGAGTTTAACCAACCATTTTGGAAGTCCATACTGATTCTCAGCGCTCCTCTCTTTGATAGTTCGGTCACTGCGTGTTGGATTTGAGGTTTTAGTTGCTTTCTCATGTATGGCTTTAAACAGCTTTGTGAGGCTGGTTGCCGGGAGAGGCAAAAGTAGATGGCAGGTGCCATTTACAAGATGCTTGTGTTAATGATCAGATAATGTTATTACAATTTGGTCTGTTCCCAACACCCCAACCATAACCCTAATGAGAAGAAAAGAACTAGAAAAATGGGAAAGTGAGAATGGAGTTGAATAAGAATGAAAATACAAATATATAAAATGAAAGTTGCATTCGTAGTTATATTCCGGGAAGAAATTACTGCTTTTTTAGGGGTTCTTCTTTTCTTCCTTTATTTTGGAAAATGAAAAAATATGTATAAAAATAAAGGAAGAAACGAATGGGTTTGGGTTGAGTTCTGGTAAAAGCTAATGTTCAAAATCCATATTAAAGAAAATTGAATTGTTTTAGTTCAACATCAACAATGAATTATTCTACATCTTAACCCACCAGAAAGTGCTCTAGAGCTTTTCAAATTAATAGTTATACTCCAAAAAAAATCAGTCTATCTTTTCACGTTAACAACATATGGGAATATATATATATTTATGTAGAACAAGAATGTTAATGCGTGTACACAATTCCTTGTGCTTTCCGTCTTTTTACATCACAAAGATTGTTGTGCTGTTTTATTTTGTGGCCCTCAACTCCTCCTCATGTACTGTTCTCTCATTGACATTTACACTATATATGCCCCCTGTACATGGCTAAAATGAGTGGCTTCAATGACAAGGTTCAGGTAGGTTTTAATTCAGGCTGTCACCACCATGGATGATGTTTCCATTTTACAAGGTTCATGTGAAAGGAACAACTCAATGTAGCAGTGTGTCACGTTGTGATTTTGTATTATGCAAACAATAGACTTAGGAATCCAAGGCTGTATGAAATATCAACGAAGGGTCCAAATAACATTAAAATTGCCCGTGGTCCCAAGATCCAACTGGTTATAAAGTGACAGATTGAGTTGTAATCTATATTGGTCTATCTTCTACTTTCTAAGACGGAAAGTTTAACTACTAAGGGTGGTAATCTATTTTTCTCTCATTTAAATAATAATAAAAAAATAAAGGGTTGTGAAATTCAGTCCTCGATCATTTTTTCCTTTTCAGATCTACTAAAGAAATTCAATTTCTTCATTTTGCTACAACAGAAAATAAATGATAATAAATGAGAGAAAATTCTATTTCAAATAATAATAAAAAAACCCTCTACAGTAATGATTTCCTGATTGACTACTAATAAAGGGTTGTGAAATTCAGTCCTCGATCATTTTTTCCTTTTCAGATCTACTAAAGAAATTCAATTTCTTCATTTTGCTACAACAGAAAATTTGAAATTTGAAAGAAAATTTGTACTCATACCCTTTTCTTAATCTTTGATTATTTACATATATATGTATATAAGAAATGAAATACGTACTATTAACAAAATGAAAGTGTAAAATTTGATAATCATGGGACAATCACAGAAGACGACAAAGGGGGAAAGAACAAAAGATGGTGCCCAGTGTTTGGCCCACGCTAGCTCGACTACAGAACAAGTGGGCCCACATGGTTCGGACCAAAAGGGTAAGTAGCCCGTGTTTGATTAGGGTGGTCGCTGGGTGGTGGTGCTCTGCCAACTACAAAAGAGAAGGGAATAAAGCACATTCTTGCACATGGACTCACCCAGCATGAATTAAGGGATTGTTGATGAGCCCAAAAAAGTTGTTATATCAAATCGCTTGCCACTCTATAGCGGTGACTATGGCCCCTTCTCATCATGTCATGTCCCTCAAATCCATCCAAACTCCATTCTTCTTAATTGCCCTAGAGTGGGTGTGGGACCCGAATCATTTTCAATGGAACGTATGGCAGGTTCCGTTCAATTCGGATGCACCTTACAAAAAAATATTAAAATGTTAGATAAATTTTGCAATTATTTTATAAAGTGTATTTCAAACTAACCAAACTGTTCACACAAGGGATTTTTCTTCTTAGAATATGAGAATTATATACACACACATATATATATACACACATATATAGGATTTTACTCCTTTGACAAGTAGTCAAAGGTTAATCTTCTCTTCAAGACTTACTTGATTTAGTTTTTTGAAACATTTTTTATTTTTATTTTTGACAACTAGAAAAAAAAAATCATACTAAATTCTGTGTGGTAAACAATTTTTAAAAAACTCAATTAGAAAAATGTTATTTTTAGAAAACTGCTTTAAAAAAATTGAGTTCTTCATAAATATTTTTAGAAAATTGAATCAAGTATCCCTTAGCGTTCAAGTCTTGGTTTGAGTAATATTATAAGATGTGTGAGAAAAAACAAAATGTGTAGTCAAAGTTTGTTTTAAATTAATTTTTTACTATTCACATTCACATTCACATTCACATTCACATATGTCTAAGTCGAAAATTTTAAACGCAACTCTCTCATATTTAATATATTATTGATAAAATATTATTTATTCCTTAATTTTTTTTTTTTTGATTATAACAATTGAATTATCTTATCATTCACATTTTTTTAAATCTAAAATATTATAAACGTTAAATATAGATACATGCTATCGCATTTAAAGACCATATAACTCGACCAAATTTAGTTTTTTTATTTTTTTTAAACGATATTAGTCCAGTAAATCAATAATAGAATTATTTTTCATACAATTTTTTTCATGATGTTAAAAAAGTTTTTTAAATTATAAAACTCAATGATGATATTTTGTCTCGATGGAATGATAAGATCTTACATGTCTAGTACAATAGTTAATATTTTAATTCAAATATGTCCGCACTTTAAAATGTCCCACTTGGATAAAAGAAAAATTAAAAAAAAAAAAATTAGCGTCAAAATGGATTCTAACCTGAAGGAAAACCTAGACATCATGTTTGGATAGATTGGAAATGTTGGAAAGAGACTTTCTCGAAAAATTGGACTACGGGGATTAATCTCATGAACTTTATACTACATTTAATAATTAAAGAATAATCACGTGCATTAATCACACGTGGAAAACATGCCGGATATAGATATGAAAGGAAATCACACGCAAACATGTGTAACAAATTTAGACAATCATGAATTAAAATATGTTTAGTAAAATGTGTTTTAGAGTGAGGAAGTGTGGGTTTTAGAGAGAGAAAGTGAGGAGAGTGAGAGAGAGGTGGCACAGGATCAGTAGCATGCAGGGAATGTGCTGAACATGCTGTACATTTCATGCTGCTTCACTGTCTCACCCTTTGTCACATGCAATTCTGCTCAAAGCCTACATTTTCATCTCTTTCTTCATTCTGCATGTGCTTCCCATGTGCTTGCCCCTTTGCGCACTGCGCACCCACCCCTAGATACATACATACATACATATAAATACATATATATATATATATATATGTATGTATCTTTCTCTCTCTTCCAATGTGGTCTTTGCTGGACCATACCACATTCACATGCGTCCTTAGCCCAAACACAACTAGGTCTCCACTCCCTTTCAAGCCAATTCCCTTCATTGCCCTTCCAAATTTCCAATTATAATTAACTATATAAAATTCTAGTATTTTTTTAGTTAATGTAAGTTGTCTTACTATTTTTGTGGTTATATTAAAAAAAAAAAAAAAAAAAAAAAACTAATCTACAAATTGTTCCCCTTTTCACCTTCTTTGATTATATATTTTTACTACTATTTTTTATTTTTATTTATTTTTTTGTTTGCCTCATCTCCAGTACTGATCATTATAATTACTATTATTGTTAATTATGGAATGAGACATGCATCCACCACCATGTCTACCCATTAATTCCGATTAAACATTTATAAATAAGAATTGTCATTATTAGTTGTGAAATATGTACTGTATTATTTGTGTAACGAAACATGTATCAACCACCATGTCTCTCCTTTTATATACATTGATGGATGATTTTTTAATTTTTATTTCTATTTTTGTTGATAATATGAGGGTATTTTGGACCAAAAAGGAGAGATTTGAACGTGCCCTAGGTTTGCATGTGCCGTTGCAGATAAGCAGGCTTTCTCTGGCAAGTTTCCTCTCGAAAAATTTGGTAGTAGCTCGCAAGTTGTGCCATGTTCCCGCTATTAACTTTTCAAGTGAAATACGAAAATGCCGTCGTGTTGCACTCAAAATTACACTAGCACCCCCAACTGCATTATAAATATCTCTAAAGGTAGGGCCTATTACAACCCAAAAAAAAAAAAAAAAAAATAATAATAAATAAAAATGAAGACCCAATGTTCAATGGTGGTGACAATGTACAATAATGCTATGAATTGGAGTTTTTGAATTTAGACTTGAAAGATCGAATAGTTGGTTTCAAATATACCATTAATTTTATTTTGTCAGATATTTAATTCATATACACTTATAAATGTTGATTTCAAAAATTATGATTCAAATCATTCACCTACTTTAACAAAAGTTAGAGTACGACTTTTTGTAATGCAAGAAATACATAATAAGTAGGAAAAAGTCAAATTTTATTTTTGTAAAACAGTGTACATTCTAAACTACCCTTAATCAGCTAAAAAGTTCAAAACCTGAACTTCATATAACCATTGAAGTGAAATACTAAATTCTACTATATGCATATAGATCTGAAGATATTATTTTTTTAACATTATAAAATAGTTGTAGTAAGTCACATTTTTATTTATTTTTTCAACCAGAAAGATCTTCAACAAAAACAAAGAGAATGGCAATTTTGTAGTTTCTTAGAGAGTAAGTGGCAATTGTCCAACTCCACATTACTTAAACACCAAAACGCCCCTCCCTCCCCGTTATACCAATCAACACAACCAACGCCCCCGTCGGCCGTGTGTGTGTGTGTGTCTCTCTCTAGATATTTCTCTCTCTAGATTTCTCTTTCTCCATGGGGTCAAGACCGAAGAGAGCCGTGGACAGGTCGGTGAGGAAGACGAGAAGAAGACGATTTTGCAGAGCTGGAGAGAGCTCAAAAACAGCCGTGGATGGCGGAGGTGGTTGGATGTGTTCTTCGGTTTCAGAGAAGTTGGAGGCTCTCAAAAGCCTCATACCTGCTCAAAACGGAGAGAGAAAAGCGGACCAGTTGTTCCAAGAAACTGCGGACTACATTGTTCTTCTCAGATCACAGGTCTTGGTTTTGCAGAGATTAATTAGTTTATATGGATCTAGCGATAACCAAAATCTTAATGCTGCTGTATAGTTATGAAAATCCATCACTTTCTTCTTCTTCTTTTTTTTTTTGGTATGCATGCTTTCCGACTTCATATTATTGTACTTTTTCAGAATTTCCCACATTTTCCTGGCATCCAATCAACCATATATCCCTATTTAATTTGTCTTTGTTTCTGTTTCTAGTAATCACAGTTGGGAATAGCAAAGTATAAATTTTTGCTATTAAAGTTCAATTTATGAATATAGATATATACATATTTATGTATATATATTTTGTTGGGATTAATTCTTACATGTTTAGTATTTATTAGCAAAAATACATGTTAATGAGTAATATATCATCATATCGATCACCATGACATGAATGCACATGAGATGACAGTTTGATTCAGGAAAACCATGCGCAGAGTGTCACTTTAGTGTGAGAGCTGACACTGACAACCATGCTTTTATTTACTTACATGAAAGAAAGCGATCCAGGACATTCACATTTCTCATATATATATATATATATATATATATATATATATATATTTCTCATTATATATATATATGTATATATATTTACACACATGTATCTGAGTGCATCTCAGTGAGGTAGACAGCACCAGTCTGAGTACTTCATGTTATGGCGTGACATGCTGGCTGTGTTATGCTGGCAGTGACAAACAAATGTACGATATGATGTTTTTCTTTATTTTTTATTTTTGAAAAAGAAAAGATTTGTTCTGGTAACTAAATACACGAGTACTCCATCAAATTATCAGAAATTCGGTTCACATCTAAAATACTTATGAAATAAACCTTTTTTAAATTAATCAATTAACTTATATTCACTCGTCTAGACAATATTTTTCATTGTTCACTAATAAATTGACTGGTTAAACTCATGTTTCTGTAATCAATTCCATCCCCCAATTGGATAGGGGTAAACACCTGCGAAAAGATCTATTGAATTTAAGAAAAGTTGGCTTAGATTTATCCATAGTTTGTTTAGTTTATTTCTTATATATGCTGAGCTGAATATTCTATTTCAGTTGGATCTAAAAGTGAATTGAAATCACGAAATAGAATATATATTTTTTATATTTAAATATGTTATGTATATATAATATACTCTCTCCGTTTTAATATAATTGTCCACATCGTAAACTATGATTTACATAATTGGGACGGAAGTAGTATAATGTGTGTAGAGAATTTTTTTTTAATATCCCAAGGGTAGCAGTTATGAAAATTAACCCGATCAATAAAAATTCCTACTTTGTTTTTTTAGTTAAAGGATAAGCTTAAATTCTAACTCTGTACGTTATACATCAATTTGAGCATTTTATTATTACACCCAAGTGAATGGATTTTTAAAATTTTAATATACCGAGTTGAGATGTGGTTTTCAATTGGTTACCAAAATGAGTAGCTAGAGTAAAGTGAAAGAATTATTCTTATATGGAAAATATATATATATATATATATATATAGGCTATATTCGATTGAATGAAATTAAAATTTTAGAATTAGAATAGGTAAAATTAGAACAACAACGTAGAAAATTAAATCAAAATTATTATTATTATTTTTAATTATGTCAATTCTAATTCTAAAACTTCAATTCTATTCAACCGAACAAACCCTCAACAAACTTGGAGAAGCTATTGATGCCTTGTATCTCACCAAGATGACCCCCCTCAATTCCACTGACTCAATACACTCAAATAGTGCACAAGCAACACAATCTTTGTTTTCCTTGCAAATAACTCTACCACGATTATCATTTTTTATATAAATAAATGGGGCGGTCACATGAATATTTTTTTCCATTAATTTGTTTTTTTTTTGAAAAGTTTAATTCTTTTTATCTTATTGGCCATTGAAGGAGATGATCTCCACCATTCAAAATCCACTGATGCACAAAGCACACATAATAAGCTCCAGATTCTATATGAATTTGAAAAGACGGGTATGATTGTGGGTGATCATGATATCAAAAAAAGAGAGGTTATTTTCGGCTAAACAAAGCAGTTACCGCAGCAGGCTATTAATGTCGACATATTATGTGGAGCTGACTAGATATGAAAATAAATGATAGAAAAAGGTAATTGTAAAAGAATTAGAATTCATGCCACCAAGTCTGAGTAATTTGGATTAAGATTTTGTGATAATTGTAGTTTGATATGGTATCAGAATTTTGTGAACTTATGCTTAGGAGATAATTGTAAGATTATTTATTGATTTATTTTATGGACAATGCTTCGATCCTGCCCCCATCAAGATAGATTGTGTCATGCACACTAACGTGTGCCAATAAGAGGTTGACACCTTTTTTAAACTTGAAAAAATACAAAACATTACTCAACTTTAGATGTTATTTTTAATTTACTCATGGAAAATTGTATTTCCTTATCTTTTTCTATTATTTTTAATTTTCTTAAGATAGAAAATTATTCTTAAAAAAATTGAACTAATCATTTCTATTTCTCCATTTTTAAAATCTACCTCAACTGTTTTTTATGCATTCTATATATGAAAGTTATTCATTTTTTCACTCAATTCTACTGTTTCTATCTTATTTTTATTTTCTACATACCTTTTTTTTTTTTTTTTTTCTGTAAATAAGAATGAGAGCAGAAGGAACAAAACAGAAACCATTGTCCTTGTTTTTTAAAGCGAAAAAAACTTAAAATTTGAACAAAATATGTTACTTGATTTAAGCTATTTGAAAGAGAGAAAAATTACATGGCCGGACAAATATAATGTTTTAACATACATGTTCTAAGAAAATGAATCAATCCTTGTGAAATCGAAATCGAAATCGAAATCGAAATGAATCAATGGGAATATTAGGTTTGGAATGATTGGCGGCTAAAGAAAAAGAAAGATACAGATGAATACACAAATGGAAGCAAAGAAAGGAAAAAAATAAACCTGTCGGGTATAACCCACAAAAATGGGTATAACCTATATTTTGTATTTTTTAAAGTTTAAACGAGGTGTCAACCTCTTATTAGAACACGTTAGTATGTAGAACACAATCTGTCCTGATGGGGCAGGACAAACAACTATTTTCCTTATTTTATTATTGAAAAATTCCTTATAATTTCAATGATTATTTGAAAAATAATGCTTGGCTAATTAGTATACATTAATCTAAAAGTTAATCAACTTTTAAATTTGGTAATAGTTTATCACAAGTTTCAATTGGCACTCTAAAGGAATGTGAGATACGCCCGGCATATTTTTGATAGCAAATTATATGGGATGCTTTAAGAAATTCGATACCATTATCATCCCAAAAAATACAAGCTTGAAGTATATGTGTGAGTGGAGGACGCATGCATATCGAAAGCCTAATGAATCTAATGATTAAACTTCTAAGAAGGTTAAAAAAAAAAAAAATCACAAACCGAAATCACTTCTTAATAATCGGTCAAAATAATTCAAACAAAAAAGTCGGGCTTATTTGATTGTCTTGGGATTAGGCCCAATATTGACTTAGGTTTTGTGTGTTTGGGATTAGGCCCAATATTGGCTCTGGTATTGTTTCGTGAGTGAGCGACCGGCGGCGAGGGTACCGTTATTGATCCGACCCGAACCCATTAGGCAGGATAGGTTGTCAGGTAAATTTAATTACTTTCTAAATCCAATCAAGGACAGTCCCGCCAAGAAAATCGCCTGGAACTTTTAGAAGTCGAACCTATTAATTTAGGGCTCCGATCGACCGCTCTGCTTCCGATCTTCGTCAATATGGGTAGCAGATGACATTCGTATCCGAGAAATACCGAATACATTCGGTAAGTGCTTCTTCGATCTTTATAGTAATTTCGATTAATTGATCGATTTTTATACGTTTTAATAATATAAGAGTTTAATAATACGATCGATAAGTGATTAAGTTCCATAAACTGCTTCAAGAATTCTAAGTATATCTCTAATAAGATTGTAAATTGTGAGATTATATATTTTTATGACGGACTTCCATGTATACCTTGCTTTTCTTTCTGCCATATGAGTGATCATTATGCTGTGACATTGTAAGTATCGGTATGAGTTCTATTTTTATTGCAACAGTCTTACCTCTGGTATTGTTAACTAGTGTTGATCCTAGTATTGATGTCCTAGCCAAAAGATCATCATCATCCTCGTTTTAATCCCATATGAATGGGTCGGCTACACAAATTATCTTCCTCCATTTTTTTTTTTTCTTTCTATTACACATATTTAACTTTTTAAAATAATTTCTAATAGCTTCATATTCGTTACTGGCGCATCTGTAGGTCTTCGTTGTATGTGTCCATACAGTAAAGTTTTCCGTTATGTGCATTTGATTGCTAAAAAATATGCTAGGATGGCTTATTTCAACTTTCACCGTCTTCTAAAGCAGCTTAGTTTTCCATCACGGCTTCAATGAAGCATGTCAAATTCTTCATTGAACTCTCCCCTTTAGTATTGCTTTTTCTTTCCACTTCCTTGAGTTCTAATGGTTTCTCACAGCTTCTTATCCCTTAGTAGTTCTTTTGCCTTGTTTTTACTTTTGCCAGTTGAGATGTTCCCTTCATTCAGTTCATTGTTTAGGATTAAAGGTATCAACCTTCCAAACATCTGAATGTAACTCTAATTGAGGAAACAGATGAAGGGTACATGCCCCATTGCTTAAACCTTCCATAGTTGACTTCCAACCTCAGTGAGTTATGAAACAGGTAATAGATGGGTGGGCCAACACTTCTTATTGAGGTGCCCAACCCACCACCGCTCCCGGCCAACTAACTTAAAAACCATTTGGGTAGTTGTTTGACATCCTTAGGCCTGAGTCCCTGCTCATGAAATGGATGATGGTTGAAGATCATGAAGCCGCGCCGTGGGGAATAAAAGAGTTTAGTTTACATTGAGAGTAAAGGTAGGAGAAGGGCAATATCAAATTTTACATGGATTAATATAATAGGTAAATACATGATAGTGTGCAGTTTAACCTAAGTTATAACCCTAGATAGAGTTAAATAGCGTTAAAGGAGTCAGGTATTCCACCCCAACTAGTTAAAACAAGGTATTATTGAGTTGAGCTGAGTATGAGTGCATGATAATTTGCCATCGATATATAAGGTGAAAATGGTTTTTAGTAACGACTTATCACCATTTCATCATAGTATTTGTCAGCTCGGACTGGTAAACAACCAAGCACCATTGCACTATGAAGAAATTTGACATTAAGAAAGCAATGCTGCTGCGTGGTGCTCCTTAAAACAGCTGGAACATTTTAATCAATAACGGTCATTATAATACCTGAGGTTTCTTCTGCATCCAAAATTTAAATTGAGCCATACTTTGGATGAGATATTAGGTAATTCTAACTCTGTAAATAGTTTTATGCTTTACATTCTTTATAGCAGACAAGGTTTTCACATATATGTCCTCTTTTTGCAAATCGATCTCCTCTTCCTTTTAATTCTTTCATGCCAGAATGCAAAATGAAACAAATGAGAAATCAAATCAAGCCTGTTCACAGCATGAACAACTTGTCTATGCCTTCATCCATTCAAAGAAATTGTTTAAATTCTTGGGAGAGCAGCCACCTTCTTTGACACTATCAATAGCCTTCTCTTTAAGTTCCAAGGACCTTGTTTTGAATTTCTTGTTTCCGAGAAGTTGATCCACCTTTTCCTTAATCTCCTCTTTTGTGATGATCCCACTTTGATCTCGGTTAAAACTCAATCCAACCATCCAAACATCACAAATGTAGGTCTGGTTAAGAAACTGGTCAGCAAAGTAGGGCCAGCACAAGAAGGGAATTCCATTGCTTACACCTTCCATAGTAGAATTCCAACCACAATGGCTTAAGAAGCAAGCGATGGAAGGATGATTCAAGACCCTCTGCTGAGGTGCCCAACCGACCATTCGGCCACGAGTGGCTACTCTATCTTTAAATCCTTCTGGATAAGCATCATTTGTCTTGTCAGTTAAATCTGGCCGCACGACCCATAGAAATGGCCTATTAGTGAGTTCAAGCCCCAGAGCCAGTTCTTGGAACTGGCTCTGGTCAAAGACCGTGAAGCTCCCAAATGCAACATAGATGACCGAGTTGGCTGGCTGTTTATCAAGCCATTTCAGGCAGGTTGAGTCTTCTGGCCAAAAGTTACCTGCTGACTTTCTAAGGTTGTTGCTTGATAAAAGTGGGCCTATAGGTAAGAACTTCGGAAATAAGGTAAATGCTGCAGGCTCCAGCTCAAAAGTTGAGTTACAAATCAGCCAGTTTGCCCTCTCTGCAACTTCGATAGTTTTTTTCATAAGTTCAAAAACAATTTTCTGAGCAGTGAAGTCACCAATACAGGCCCATACGAAGTTTTCTGTGCTCATGGCTGGCATGGTTGTTGACAAGTTAATTATCTGGTTCTTTGTTGGAGTCCCTGCAATGAAAATTCCATTATAAATAAAAAAACTCTTTGGTTAGAATGTTCTTTGATACTTTTTACCTAAAGAGTGCGACAAGGAGGAATACTAGATTATTGAAAGATGCAAGGTAAGAGGTGATTCCTTCCTGTAGGTTGTTCAATAGCAATAACCAAATTGATAAACTTTAGCCATTTGGTTTGATGTTTTGTGTAAAATTTCTAATTTTTAGATTCATATTTCATACCGTGCAAGGCTGTCCAGTTTGTGTCACACCTTATTTTTACCACTATAGATGCATCGCAATCAAGCCTTCAGATTTACTGTTATTATTGTTGTTGTTTTCTATGATTATTATAATCATTATAGTTGTTGTTATTACTATTACTATTACTATTATTATTTAAATATAACAATATCTTTAAGTATTAATTCATAGTTGTTACTGAATTACTGCTGTTTTTCTCCGTTCAAATCCTTGAAATTTTCACCTTATTCATTGTATTTTTTCAACATATTTCCCTAATCCCTAAGCATATAATAATTCTTAACTTTTATCAGTTGGCAAAATTTTGTCTGTTTTATATTGTCATGCTGTAGCAGAAAATTCAGAAGTTAGTTGCACAAAGTCTCACCATCATTATCTACGATTCCGTCGTTAATCAGCTTCGGAATCCTGAATATCAAAGCCAGCAGTGCCGCTGCTGCAGGCCAGAAGACTGCTCCCTTGATTCCCATCTTCTCCGCAACTTCGAGGGCCCATCCCATACTCTCATCTGAAATAATGCAAGTGATCTTATCATTATCTGATCCATTAATATTTTCTATGAGCTCCTCCAGCTTTCCAGGCATGACCTGGAAGATTGCTTCTGATAGCTTCCCCAGGTCATTCCTATCCTCCGATAGTTCTATCCCGTCTGGGATTGAAACAAGATGTATCTGATCTCCTATGTTATTCTTCTCTGACAATGCATTCATGACCCTCTTGTGATTAAACTCAGTGTTTACAAATGTGACTCTGAAACCGTGTTTGACTAAGCACTGTGCAAGCTCCATCAGGGGAATCACATGGCCTTGTGCTGGATAAGGTATAGCTAGAACATGTGGGTTGCCCATCTTTGTTCTTTTGTGTAATCTCTGCAGATTTTGCTAGTATTGGAAGTACTTTTTGAAGTTAGAACTTAATGTACATAATATTTCTTTTATAGGTAGCCTGCAGGCGTGACGGAGGAGCCTATGTTTACAGTATTGTCCATTTGCTTTAGTGAGTTTCAGTTGGGGAATATTCTCTTCTTTGTCACATTGCCATATCTAATATCAGCTTGTCCTTCGTTGTTAGATTTGCTGTTATTATTTGGTAACTTTGGTTTATTCCCCTGTCTTTATACTGATTCCTTCGGTGGTATCTTCATTTTAGTCGACTTCTATTGTTTTGTCATGTTTTCTCTCGTCTAATTGTATGTCTATCTTGGTTTCATTTTCCCTTTGCATGTATGCTACTTTCCTTTTCCAATAAGTAGATTATTAGATGGAATCTCTCCATGGCCAGCTTCAGGAAGAATTGGATCCACTGTAATTGGATGCATACTTTTTCTCAAACATCTTCAAAAGGATTCCCACAATCGGAAGAATTTGTTTAGTTTTTAATTGGTTGGAAGTGTTCAATCATTTCTCTAAGCTAACTTCCCCTTACCCATTGTTGTCCTGCCTATGTGGGTGCTGGGAGAGGTGCACTGACACAGACCTAACCTTCTACATTAATTTTCATAAAGAGGCTGATGTTTGACTCAATTCATATTGGCAGTTCAAGGTTGCTTTTTTATTGATTTATTTTTACCCTGCAATGGCCCCTAGGATAAAATTAAAAGACGTTGTTACTTGTTCTGAATTGGTTGGAATTTACTCAAGAAGAACGAACCATATGTAAATTGGTTGATTCTCATGCCAGATCAGCTTGAATACATATGTTGCCTGATATGAGGACTTGGTACTAGTGCATGAGGCATGAAGAGCGGTATTACTTGCAAGGGAACTGAGGTTACCAGATAAGAAAAGTGCATATATGGTTGGGACAGAGTTATTATTATTATTTAAGAAATAGCTGCATTTGGACTTCCTTTATTCTCTAAGATATCTTGGTCAGGCCTTTCTAAAATTTGAACTTCACAAACCATGAAGACTAGAACCTTCACTATGGCCAGCTTTCACGCTTATATTATATGGCATTGGTATTGGCTTTGTCTCTATATATTCAGAAATTTAAGAAAGACACATCCTGAGCCCAGCCATTGAACTGTCTGCAGAATTGAATTTTGGCAATATATTGCAAAAGGGAGTTAGGCTGTTTAACAAGTATGTCTATCTTCAATATAAGGATATAGGTTGTGGAAGGAGTTGGTGCTGGTCCACATAATATTTTGAATTTCACTGGTAGAAACTCCACACATGAAATCAACCCAAAGGATGGTCCATTAAGCCAAATCCTGCTTTATATTCTGCTCAAGTGATTTTATAAACTTTAGACCTTTGGTAAGTTTGCTCAGATTAAAGCTACAACACACCCTTTGGTGCTCTTTCATTGCCTAAGCTCGTCATGGATTCAATTTATTTCATCGCTAGTCCATGGCTTCTATGCTATTGTTAGAATCCAGAGGTATATGAAAATTTTCTTGGTGATTAGTTGACATTAATTTAGGATGTCACCACATAATGGTCGATCAGGCCTCACAGTCGATTCTCTTGTCTGGGACTTGAGACGGATGATGTACTTAGAAAGAAAGGCTATTGCTAGCACTATTTGGATGTTTGCTCAGTTCTTTTAGTTCTCTCTCTTATTTTCACTGTTGAAATTTCCTTTTTTCAGGTTTAATAGGCTAATAGGGAAGGATCAGACCGTTGCCTAAAGCTCTGATAATTTACAGTACTTTATATGTTATGGCATATTGCTACTGAAGAAATCCTTTAATCCTTCATGTTGTAAAAATGAACTTTATTACCAAAGCATTGACTTGAGTGGTATACTGGTGTGTCCTCCACGGTCCACCTATCCAAACGGATGTTGAGGGTTCAAGCCCCGCTGCGCCGGGGGGGGGGTTGGGGTTGGGGTTGGGTGGGGCGGGGGTGCGCGGGAATGAGTTATTTACTTCTTCAAAGCATAAGGCATTAGAATGTTTTCAAGTTTTGTTTTCTGTGTCTTTTTTTTTTTTTTACTTCTTCAAAGCATAAGGCATTTGAAGGCTATTATGGTTCCTTCAAACCTGATTGCAGTATCCTCTTGGCATTGGAGTTTATTCTAGCTTGAATCTTAGATCCATCTATTAGGACCTCCAATGTCCAAACCTTGCTGGTATAAAGTAGGTAGCACTAACATAAATCAATCCTATATGATTGTTTAAACTCTAAAGCCTTAACATTATGAACATTAAGAGACAGACATGTCATTATGTTCACAGAGAAAAAAAAAAAAAAAAATGGCACCAATAATGTACTGTTTCCTAACCTGGACTAGCCAGATGCTTGAACCATCAAAACTTCCAACTGGTCTCGGTTGATTCTTAGGGCTCCATTGATAAGAAACCTGATAGAGTGTAATTTATTAAAAGTTGTACATGCACACCCACAAATCAGGAAGGGGAGTTTTTCAACAAGGTCCATCTGGGGGATTGGGGATTAGGAGCAGCTTTACTCAGGTTAAAATTCATTAGTTCATGTATCATCAACCAGTTTTCTTTCATGTGGCATGCTCCTTCTACAATCAGAGCTCTACTACATCAAGCTTGGCACAGCATGATGAACTTGTCTATGCCTTCATCTGTTCCATGAATTTGTTGAAATTCTTGTAAGAGCTACCTCCCTCTCTAACACTACTAATTGTCGTTTCCTTCATGTCTGAAGCTCTTGCTTTTAATATGGTGTCACCAAGCAGTTGCTCTATCTTATTCCTAATTTCTTCTTTTGTGATTATCCCCCTTTCATCCCGTTCAAACCTCAATCCGACCTTCCAAACATCACAAATGTAGCTCTGGTTAATAAACTGGTCAGCAAAGTAAGGCCAGCACAAGAAAGGGACTCCATTACTTACACCTTCCATTGTGGAGTTCCAACCACAATGACTTAGAAAGCAAGCAATAGAAGGATGATTCAGAACCTTCTGTTGAGGTGCCCAACCCACCATCAGTCCACGAGTGGCTACCCTGTCTAAAAAACCTTCTGGGTAAGCATCATTTGTTCCATCTGTAATATCTGGCCTTACAACCCACAGGAATGGTCTGTTACTGAGTTCAAGACCCAGTGCTAGTTCTTGAAACTGGGTTTGGTTTAAAACTGTGAAGCTGCCAAACGCAACATATATTACTGAGCAGGCTGGCTGTTGATCAAGCCATTTCAGGCATGTTGTGTCTTCTGACCAGAAGAATCCTGCTGAGCTTCCAAGCCGATTGCTTGCCAGAAGTGCAAATCAGCCAGTCTGCTAGTTTCACAGCTTCGTTGTTTCTTACTATTACTTGAAAAATTATTTTCTGCATTGCCAAATTGCCAACACGAGTCCACACAAAGTTCACCGTATTCATTGCTGGCATAATTGGCGACACTGAATAATCTGGTTCTTTATTGGTGTTCCTGCAATGAATATACAAATGGAAAACATGAACTATGGGGCTTTAAATTTACATTTGGTTTTATTCTTTTCACTTAATAGTCTGGTAGTCTGAGGCAAGAAAATTACTAAATGTGCTAAAAAAGTAATCCCTGAGGCAAGAACATTAACGAATATGTTAACTTTTAGCATGAGGTTCTGTATGCTGGATTATGTTAATATTTTGAGAAAACTGGATCCTGATTAGTGCCACCATCAGATTATTCTGACATTTATAGTACGACTGGTTTCACTAGCTGTAAGGCTATGCTATTTCTGTTCCTTCCATGATTATCTTGACAGAAGCATTATACCGAACTTTGAATTTGTTATTTACTTCGTGCATGTAGTGGAGTTTGTCCTTTGATCGTTTAATTGATTTACAACAATTGTAACGATTCACTCCACCACATGGTATGATATTGTCTGTGCACCCGTAACTCGCCAGTGTGGTAGCCTGACAGTGTCTCGCACCCGCCCACAAGGTCATCATAACCCACCCCCCTTGAAGACCCGACGTCCCGGTAGGCACACTTCCGGCTGGGTCAGGCTCTGATACTATTTGTAATGGCCTACTCCCGGTAGGCACACTTCCGGCTGGGTCAGGCTCTGATACTATTTGTAATGGCCTACTCCAACACATGGTATGATATTGTCCGCTTTGGGCCTGAGCCGGCACGGTTTTGCTCTTGAGCTTTACCTCAAAAAGCCTCGTACCAATTGGAGTGACACACCTACATATAAGCACTTCACCTTTCCTTTACCTAGGCGATGTGGGACTGTGCACCCGTAGCTCGCCAGTGTGGTACCCTGACAGTGTCTCGCACCCACCCACGGTACACCCGCCCACAAGATCATCACAATAATTTACTAAATAAATATGCTTTTCCAACTTATTCCTAGAAAAAATTAATTTCTGGACCCTGAATTATAAAATTGTCACTCAGTATAAATATGCTTTGCATAAGAGTCAGTAGTTACTCTCACCATCGTTACTAATAATTCCATTCTCGATCAGCTTTGGGATGCTGATTCCCAAGGCCAAAAGTGCAGCTGCTGCAGGCAAGAAGGCTGCCCGCTTAATTCCCATTTTCGTAGCAACTTCCATGGCCCACCCCAGACTCTGATCAGCAATAATGCAAGTGATTTTGCAGCAGCCCTCTGATTCACTGAGTTCCTGTATTAGCTCCTTGAGTTTCCCTGGCATGATCCGGGAGATTGCTTAAGTTTAATTTGATTCTAAAAAGTATTGGATCAATTATTCGCAATATTTTATTGTCAATTATTAGCATTGTTTTTTTGTTGCTTGATTATTAGTGCTCGGCTGAGAAGGGTGATCCAATTAATTTTTTTGAAAATAAGATACAAAATTGTGCACATCTGGTAGGTTGACGCTGACATAATAAATAAAATTTGAAACAGAAATCAACTAGTTGAGATTGGAGCAACTTGGAGGCCCTCTTCAAACCTAAACTAATTAAGTTTGAGAAAAAGGGATTAGAACCAACCTCTGAGAAGAAAGTGAAACTGGATATCAATTCCCAAACAAAGTCAAAAATCAACTATTAGCAGCTTAAATTTTGTCTTGCTTCTTATTCTTCATATTGTGTCATCCTAGTTGAAGAATGGTTTTTCTTTCCTTCTGTTGGGCATAGATAATTTTGGAAGAAAAACTTGAGCCAACTGCAATTTTTTCTGTCTAATGTGATATCACGAATGATTTTGTTATATATATATAAATAAATTAGATGGTAAGCTTGGTCTGATAGCATATCTCCTTGTCTGGAAAATTTTGATGTTGTTAGTGTTTAAATTATTAGGTTGGCCAGCTTGCTTGTATTCTTCTGTGGTACACAGCAGTAATGGTCAAACTCTTTGGATGATGGTGGCACCAAGAAAGAATTGGAGCACATAGCATGAAAGCTAAAACTTAATTGGAGACAATTATTTTTATTTGGTTCAATTTTTAATGTTTGTCTTCTATGAAACAATATGATAGAAAAAAAAATGGCAGACAGCATTAGATGAAGCAGATTTCACATTGATTAACCAATTGCAACTCATCATCCACTGCTATTGTTTTTGGACAGACATTCACCGGAAAAGAAGAGCCAACCCTGTGCTGGTGGCTGATGCTGGTCACTGAAGGGCTGGTCCGCAGCTGTTGCCTGATATCGAGGCTGCCTAGTGTGAGGTAAGGAGCGTGGCATTTTGTTTTTAGGAAGCACACCAGACTGTAAAATGCAAAGCTTATGTGCCATTCTAGCGACAATGACATTTTAAGAATCTTCCCTTGACTGATGCAAGCAAGGACACTCAATTTAATAATACGGCTGAGCAAAGTGTGATCCACATCTGATTCCGACAAGGGCGGCGTGTTTGTCTGTATGCTCTTGGACTTGTGGGAGAGTGGCATTTTAAAAATTTTGTTTCTCAACTTTGTGGTGAAGGTTAGATTGTTACCTCCTAGTTAGGTTTGCATTTGTAGTTTACTTGGAATCCAACAGGTTCATGATAATGCCTTCTTTTATAGCTCCTCTGTATCCTGTTGTTTTTTGCATTAGGAATGTTTTTGCAACTAGTGTAGTTGTACTTGTATCTGTTAAAAACCAAGTCACATTTGAGCATGACATAATACCAAATCCACCTCCACCATTTGGCCACCAATCGCCCAGTCATACGGCTGAAGCCCAATACCTAGTTACTTGAACGGGGTTTGGTTCATAATTGTTGGGCTATGATATGTGGGCTGTGTTCACTGTAGCCATTTAAAGCCAATATTATAGTCCTCTGCCCATATTCTTTAACCTTTATTCCATCTAATTACTATTATGTATCGTGGATCTATTGTTTGGTAAATTATTTTCGATTGAGACCGAATTCCATAACCTATATTGGTTAGGACTAAGAGTTTTTAACTTTTTATGTATTTGATGTTGTAAATGGATCCCTTCGAATTTATCCATTATATCAAATGGATAGGAATTCCTTAAGTTCATTATGCAATTTTTATTTTATTATTATTATTATTTTTTTCTCAAGAGGTTGCCAAAACCACCCAGACAAAGGTAGACCTATAACTAAACAATTCTTTTTTTTCTTTTTTCTTTTTTTAAAAAAGCTCGCGATTCACCTCTTTTTCAAGAATCAATAAGCAGGCAAGATCCTGATTTTCTTGCCTATTTCAGAAAGGAGAAACAGTGATTGGGAATTTGAAGAATGTGTCCTTCCCAAAGCACACCTAGCCCAGCATCAACGACAAGTTTGGTGCTTTAGTTGCCATCAAATCTTCCGAAGAGAGTGCATCCACCATCTTTTTTTTTTTCAAACGGTGATGCATCCACCACTTATAAGAAGCAGGAGCTTGAGCTTAAACTGCCAGGTGAGTTCTTCTATCTTTAATTGATTTTAATTTGTTCCTCGTCAAAAGACCAAAGGGTGTCTTTCTTTCTTGTTCATTCTTCTCTCTTCCCTAGACACCAAATTTTTTATGAAGAATTGCATTCCTAGGCTTTTGTTACATAAAGTTTTTCAGTATGTTAAGGATACATATGTATCCGCGACGCGATTGAAAATTTGTTGATGTTATATGTTTCCTCTATATCCTGTATCATATCTGGTATCTAAAAGCAAACGCAGAGTCAAAAATAAAGATTCTGACCCAACACTATGTATGCCCCAACCAAGCAATTTGTTAGGACCACTCATCAGTCACCACACACACAGTGATTATGGTGACGACACAACCCCCACCAAAAACCCAAAATATTCAAGAGCCACCACCAAAGCATGCCGATTCTCTAGTGACCTAGACAATTTTTGGGCCCACGAAGCAAAAAGCACCTGCGATTGAGTATTTTCTGGATAATTGAAAACAGAAAAACACAGCCACCCGTGATTCAAAAACTTTCTATGTCATGAATGGATTAGAAACCGATACAGATGACACTGACATGTTGGACATCTCTGTCTCAAAATACTGTCGTGTAGTGGCCACTTCAGTCAATTTTGAATATATATATATATATAGAGAGAGAGAGAGAGAGAGAGAGAGTATATATCAGTGAAAGACAACTACAGTGCAAAGAGAATCCTTCCATTCAAGTAAACATGCTTTTTGTGTCCCTCTGGAATAAAGACTCACCTTGTCTTTTATAAGATGAAGGCCACAGAATCAATGTCCCAAACCTTGTACTTTTTCTCAATAAACAAGACACTCGAAGAAGTGTCAAAAGCGTCTATAGTACTATTAGACATTTTTCAGTGATCTCTTGTTCCCAATAAAATGCTTGCCTAAAAGAGCATATACACAGTAACCAGGGGAACAAAATACATTCAAAGTGTAAAGTCACATAAAAGTTTTACTAAACAAAATTACAAATCCTCATAAAATGTGTATATATATATACTAGTAAATTCATGAAAAGCTTCTATCAAGTTTCTACATGGTCCTTCAGAAGCATGTTAGGAGGCAAAGCCCATATTTATGAAATATACAACAAAACGTACCTCTAAAATCTTCTTTGTTTATCCACCTAATTCCATAATCTTTAAGATGCCAAATCTGCCACTAACCCTAAAAGGCAAAAAGAAGAGAACCTAAGAACCCATAGCAACGACAACTATGTTCAGATTCTTGTTGATTAACATGGCATTCCAGAATATAGAGGTCATTAGTACTTGCTACTCACTTACTCTTTAGCCTTTATACCTAGATCTCTTTAATTCGGATGAAAATACACGAGGACAGTATATACTTCACCAAAAATGACATCTGGCCTTGATCCCAACCCAAAAAAAAATAAAAATAAAAACTGAACGGCCAAAATCAGTTAAATTTAACCTGTTCTGTATTCCCTCTTTTGCCCCCCTTTTGTTGGCTTTCTTCTGCATATACGTAGAAGTTATGGATAGACATGGATGAGAATATGGAATGCAGAGTAGAGTGAAGAGGATGCAGAAGGGGAGGGGGGATCAGTCAATCATTGATCAAAGTGAAAGACATTGTACTCCCTCCGGTACTGTGCTAGGCATTGGAAGTGCAGTAACATATCTTTGGGGGAATGTTCTCTGGACAGTTGGAGTAGCGCCTGAGTTTCCTTGATCTCGAGTGTGGAACTTCGCAAGACGGTTGAAGAAAGAAAACTTCTCCAGCTCCTGATTTTCCATTCTTAAGTCTAAAATTGACGCTCTCTTGTCCAATCTGCAGTGTTAAAATTGACATGTATGAAAAGAAATTGAATTGTACAAGGAGCATGGTAATTATGCCGCAGAAGGTACAAATATAGGTTTTGCATTTTGCTAATCTCCCAATTTAATCTTGTTTTAATGTACTAATGTCATGTTATCAATTTTTTTTTTTTTGGGTAGGTAATTCACATACACACCTATATATATATATATATTTGATAAGTACATACGTGCACCTATTTGTCCCAGTGGGACTTGAACCCTCAACCATCTATTTGGAAGAAGGTGATACCACTTGGGTTAAGCCCTCGTGGTAATGTCATGTTATCTATGTCTAATGCCATTATTCACAGTGCATAAAAAGAAAAATAAAACATAAAATCATACTAACAAGGAAAAATAATTATATATGACAAGCATTCAGAGAGTATTTCTTTCAGATAAACTGTAAACAGCCAACTATGAGCATGTTTTTATGTGTTTTGCGCTTCGAATTCTAAGCAACATGTATGACATACAAATTCAGCACAGGTTTGTGTCCATGTTAAGGACGAACATTTTTGCCTGCTACAAGACACAATAGCTTCTGAAAATACCAAAATTTCATGAATGGCAAGCTTAACTCATACCTCAATAATACGGCTTCCAACTTCTTTGCTCGGTCAGTATAGTCTCCCACAGTTTTTGAGAAATTCTGCTCATAATTATTATCAGGAACTTTGGGGTTTTCATAAATCCTAAACAAAATTTAAGAAGTCATTCAGAGGGTCAAAATTCTGGTAGTTTTAATACAGAAACATCTATGTTATGGATTTGTGTAAGAGATGGTGGGTGTTTTCATTTTTGATGAGGTTCCAATCTATTAAATTTAGTTTCTTAATATGAAAAGAAAAAACAATGTAGCAAGTTGAGGTGCAACTTACATGACAGTGTGGTTAGAAGATAGGTGGGAATCACTTCTTGAGCAAGAGACCAGGCAGCACGCATCCCCTAATGCCAGTCTAGCAGTAAAGTATGCCACAGTATCATAGTTCAAAGCTGCCTCTGCTGAGAGAATGGTTGCTGGAATAGGCCGAAACATTTGCTGCATAAGCTGTGTTGTCAAGATGAGCCTTTTCTTTGATCGGAGCATTGGTTGCACAGCTTCAGTCATTTTAGCCTCATCTTCCACCTGCCAACAGAAGTAGAATAAATGCAAGTGTCCTAGGGAAGACTAAATTTCAACGCAAGTGTCCTAGAGAAGATCAAGAATCATTGCTTCACTTGTCCAACCAAGAACACACCTTCTCAGTCAGTTGGTTAGCAGCTTGCGCCCATTCTAATTCTGCCTTGCTGCAAAAGTAAACTACATTAAATATCACAAATAAGCAAATCACATAAAAATAAATAAAAAATGAAGACAACTAATGCAAGGGAAAGCACATTGGAATAGAAGAAATTCTATTCTATTCAAAGCTGCTGGAAAATTGAAAATGCAAACTCAAGCATCCTAGTTCTTGCTCTTGTCTTTTCTGCCACCAAACTGATCATTGCAAGAAGCAGAATGGTGATATTGTTTCCATAGTGTGTAACAAGGATACAAAGTAATGTGCTGATTAAAGCAAGCACCTGATATTTTCAAGCCTTTGAGGACCTTGAGTCACTTCCTTGTGCCATGGTAAAAGCTCAGATGTTGCAATTTTACGCTTCTTTGGTCTCACAATAGTCAAATTTTGATCAGGGACTCCCAGAGGTAACACATAAGGGGAAGCTCGTTTATCCGTAGTTGGCCAAACAGTGCCAATCTGACTGCCATCAGCAGCATTTACACTAACCACGGAAGTATTCATGTGCAAATTCCCAAAAGGCTTCCCAAGAGGGAACTGCTGTGCAGCATTTTTTGCAGCCCTTGCATCATACATTGGCAAAATCTGCCTGCTTTCCAAAGTTCCATAATGCTGAAACCAAGATGGTGCCATTTGCAAAGTAATCTGAGGAAATTCTGTTCTGTTAGATACAACATTACTACTACTAGAATGACTCTCTGGATAACTTTGAACAAGTGTGACCATCTCCTGAGGTGTATCTTGAAGATGATGGGATGAATCTTTGACAGACTGATGTTTTTTCACCTCTGATGAGAAGTTCATATCCCTCGTTGGATACAAATTGAGCTGTAATGCCGCATTCGGAACATCATTCAACGGATTGTTGATGCCCAAATTATGTCCATACATCAATTGATTTTCTGCAACAGCAGTTACATCCTGGAGATTCATATCAGGACTAGCTTCATTAAATTTCAGAGAAACCCTGTTACTATTATCAGTCTCCACATTCTTCACAGATTGCACTTGGTGCAGCAGGGAGTAATTTTTATGGAGAAAATGTGATGGCTTGAGAGAACGACCAAAGGCTTCAAGATCTCTAGCAGAAAAAGCTGGGGATTGGCCGTCACCAGCAGCCCTATCAATGTGCTGCTGGTTTGAATGATCCATGAATGAGAAAGAGGCCATAGAATTTGCTTCTGAGGCATGCTTTACCATGGATTCTTGCCCTTGAGATAATCCCCCCATCCTTGAAGATAGGTCAAACCTCTCTGATGAAATTTGCTGGTGGGACCTTTCTTTCCTATGCTGCTCTTCCCCACATTCAGTGCCTTGTGAATTCATACAACATGCATCAAATTCCACAGATGCAGTTCTGACTCTACTGAAATTCTGATCATGGAGCTCGTTTGGAGCCCACGTAGTAGTTTCAAGACTGTTATTTGTTGAACCTGTGGACAAAAACAAACTGGAGGATACCCTGCCAGGTTCTGGGCCGGCTAGATGCTGTTGAGTTGATGCATTTGTCCATTTACTGGGTGGCCTTGACGAAAATCCAACCTGTTGAGACGCGACTGACATAACAAAAGGCTGAGTGATTGACTCAGCCTCTGGAATTGTGAATTGTTGACCAAAAGGGTTGGTGCAAATTGGGTGGGAAGTATCTTGAGAGGTGGTAAAGTTATAATGTGGAAGTTTGCTTGCCATAGTAGGCAATGTTGGTTGTGCAGCTGACAGGTTTTGTCTTTGAAGTTGATTTCCTAAATAAGGACCTGATGGAGATGTAGCAGTGACCTGCATATTTAAATGTGATGTGTCAATCCTGTGTGTCCTGCAATACTTGATTTATCACCGCATTTTCAATACTATTTATATTGAAGACATTGAGGACCACACAGAAAGAGGACTCTGATATTAAGGTCTGCTCCTTTCCTGAGCCAAGATGGACATTCAAAATACTTGTACTACTCACCAGACGTGTAGAGGTCTGAGATGAGAAGCAAATGTTGGAATTTGGCAGCTGTTGAGATGGATGGGCCAACCTTAAGCCAAAGCGCTGTGAAGCAGAATGATGACTATACTGTTGAGCAACAGAAGTGTCTGGAGTTTCTTCTTTTGGCAACTCAGATAATGGATTAGAATCAGTGGAACCAAAGTGTGTTACAGTACTATGTTCCCTTTCATGGTCATCCTTGTGAAGAAGCTTGAGCTTATTTTGACTGCCAATCAGTAAATGTTTCCATAAGCTACGGAAACAGAAGTTGGGGGCAAAGTATCTAAACATAACAAACTTACTAATAAGCTGTGTAAATCAATAAGAAAATAAGAAAGCAGCGCAAATAGACAATACAGAAGGCTCATTCACTAGCCAAAAAGGAACAAATATCATAGAATTATATGTCATACAAGTATGCATATAGAATAAATTAGAGTCCAAGATTTCAGCTTTGCATATCGCATTTACTTACCCCCCACCCCAAAAACAAAAGTAATAATAATAAAAATAACATATCATATATAATAATTACCTTGTCTGAACAGTTGTATTTGAGCCATAAAAGCCAACTGATCTGTGAAAGGGAGCAGATAAATTAGCTCTAGCGTTGCCTATAGGAGGAACCTCGTCTGATGCTTTTGAATTTCTTTGAACATCAGGTGGGTGGCCCTGTAACAGAAGACCAATAGCATTACTGATTATGAAAATTCAATTCAATCATCAGAAGTCATGCCATAAAATATAAGATCCGTTATTACCTTTTCCAAGTCCATGATACCATTAGAAACATTACCAGCAGACTTGAACTGTCCAAAATATCCTTGCTTGTGACCGCTTGATGCTAGAGAAACCTGTTGGCACCAGACACATGAATCCATAACATGTTCTACAGTGTTAGGATGTTCCATATTCACCCATAAATTTGCCATTGGTATGTGAGAAGTAGAAGCCTTTTGACAAACCTGACCAGATAACGTTTGGTTACCCCCTGCCACAGGTCTTGAATCACCTCTATATTGCCACGCATTTTCCGTCAATTCATGCCCTGTGATGATATGCCGGGATGCATTATCTTTATTACAAATATTCAGCATACCGTTTCCATAGGGTGACGAAGACGCTACATTTTCGCCTATCAGTTTATTGCAGGATAGGTTACTACTGGTATATGAAGATATACTACGTTGATGTGTATCATTTTTTGAATGCTTATTCTGACCAGGCCACGCATTTTCCAAAGGCTGAAGTATTTGATCCGGTTGACCTCCCTCAATGGGTTGCGCTTGTTGATAGTTGCAATCGCTAGCATCATTGACAGACTGCTCAAAAGATTCATGAGGGGAATGGGAACACATTACCTCTCTCTGTTTGATTGGAAAATGAATAGTTGATTGCTGAAAACCAGGTAAGATAGAGCTCATATTAGAATCATTGAACAGACTTTCTGAACTTAGAGAGGAGACACTCTGTGCATTGTTATCAACCCAACCAGTTTGTTGTACTCCACTGTCCATAAAGCTTGAAGGCTGATTATCAGTTGACATTTCTGTGTTCTGGAAACTCAAGCCACTCCACTCTTCTTGTAACCCAGTATCGCTACTAGAAACTTCTGCAACAGCAGATTGCATAAGAGCGCTCCAACTCCCACTTTGAATAGACGGAAGTGACCCCAGATAATCTGTACATTCTGATGTATTCTCAAAGTTCCCCGTGTTCATGCCAGTGCATCTGCCAAAAGAATTGTCCCAACTGGTGTCATCCATATTGAACAAAATCTTCTCTTCCAATGGATCTAAGGTAGCCAAATGCTGAGAAGGGGCATTTTGTGTTGTTTTTACCGGAAAGAGTCCAGGCCAACCAGCATGTTCTTGCCTCCCACTGAATTCCTGCTGTGATGCATTCCTTTGCAGGGAGTTCACCTGCGGAAAGTTTTCTGGTAGCCCCAACAAGTTTTTCTGCTGACAGACCTGTTCAGATATGAAAGCTCCATCTGGCATGCAAAGCTGGTCTGAGGGAACATTGTGGTGATCACCCGCAAAAGGGTTACTGAAGGCTGATGACCGTACTGCTGGTTTTGCCAGGTTGTCACTATACTTGGTCAAGACATCGGCAGAATCATTAGATATCCCTTGAAGATGAGAGTATTGACTCAAATTATATCTTGCACTTGGAATTGGAGACCCATACAGTGACACATCAAGCTGCTGGGGTAACAGACCCATGGAACCCAGAGGCTGGCTTCGAGCTTGCGAACCTACCAATCCATTTGGAAATTCTGGGACAGATGGTGGCACGTCATGCAGCACCGAGTTTACATTACCAACCATAAACATCTGTGACGCATCATGAACAGGTGTTCCATTAATCAGTGGTTGAAATTGACCCCCACTATTCTGTTTATTTATTGCAGACAGCTGGTTTATATAATTCTGCAGTCTTGCATCACCCAACTCCTGAAGTTGCGGCTGCCTTTGAAGCTCTTGCAGCTTCTTGAAGATAATGTGCTGCTGTAACATCTGCATGTCATTGAACCCAGTCTGCTGCCTTGGCTGATGTTGCTGCATCCCAGGTTGCTGGCTCCAGACAATTAGTGTTGCCTTTCAAGAATTTTAAAAATCATTTGGGGATTCGGTTGTCCTGAAAATTGCTGTTGGCCCAAATAATCTCTGCTTTAATGCTTCATGAATTGTTGGCTGCAGGAAAATTTTCTCAGAAGGAAGAAAAAGGTGTTTAAAAAGCTATGAACAAATTGTGCAAAGACAAAAGATCCCTGTTCTGTGGCTTTAAACGATGGCAAATAACAATACTCAGTGGGGTGACTCATTCAAAAGTCATGAATGGAGGGCCGGCCTTAGGGAGCATACGCCTCCTCATCCTATGCAAAAATAAATAGTGAAATGCTACTGGTTCTTTCCCCTCCCAATCCTATTGAGAATTTCATAAAGCATGAAAGAGAATCCCAAGTGGTTGGGATTACTGCAACCTAATTGCTATACGTATTAAATTCTTTAGATTGAAGCTCGGAGGTGCTCCAATCTGAATTGGTTTCCGGACATCTGATTATTATAAAGATTTGACGAGCTTGAGATTCAAACTCACCTTGGAAAGAGTTGTCTTGCTCAGAACAACAGTGGACACTGCACGGAGTTTCATTCCCATACAGTTCTGAAAGAATTGGGAAGTCACTCAACAAGGAAATGTATAAAACCCTGTCCAATACATAAACACCAAGGAAACATAAAATTAAATCCTTTCAGGGCCTATTTAAGTTTAAAAGATGAAACACACTCGAATAATGGGGTTATATTTTTAAAAAATCTTTGCCAGGCAATAAAATGTAATTTGATGACAAATAAGTGACAGTGAAAATATATAATTAATAAAAGGAAACAAAAAGCTCCAGAAAGGAAAAGCAGATGTTTGAGTAAAGCTATTACTCAACAAGATATATTTTTTGTTATGATAAAGAATACTGCATCTGGTAGAATAAGAATTCAAGCTCTAGTGGTTTTATTCCTCCCGTTATACAGACTACTTCACATAGAACTTAGACAAAAGTATGGTGAAGGTTAGCCAACCACACAGTCCACACAGACTACTTCACATAGAACTTAGACAAAAGTATGGTGAAGGTTAGCCAACCACACAGTCCACATTGCCAAAGTTATAAAGTCAATTCGACCTTTTAATTCAACAAAGCCTCAAGTTCATGTGGTGTGATGAAGCCAGCCGTCTACCCACTGTAACCATCAACTTTGCTCTTTCAAAATTGGCTTTGTGGAAGACAATACAATTAAACAGTACCATTAACAGGTAAAAGCTATTACTCAACAAGATATATTTTTTGTTATGATAAAGAATACTGCATCTGGTAGAATAAGAATTCAAGCTCTAGTGGTTTTATTCCTCCCGTTATACAGACTACTTCACACAGAACTTAGACAAAAGTATGGTGAACGTTAGCCAACCACACAGTCCACATTGCCAAAGTTATAAAGTCAATTCGACCTTTAAATTCAACAAAGCCTCAAGTTCATGTGGTGTGATGAAGCCAGCCGTCTACCCACTGTAACCCTCAACTTTGCTCTTTCAAAATTGGCTTTGTGGAAGACAATACAATTAAACACAACCATTAACAGGTAAAAGTAAAATATCACATGTCTAGGTTATATCGTAAGCATATACTTCTTTTGAATTTTGAAAATTCTAAGATGATATGATCATATGAAACAAAACTCTAAAACTTGGAACTCACTAGGATCAGAGGACACCACAAATTCCGGATTTCAAATCTGGCCATAAAAACTTCTCAGCAACCTAACCGAACACTGCAAAACTGTTCTGTTTTTTGTTTTGTAATTTATTATAGGGGAAAATGTTGAATTCTTCAATAGCAATTTTACCCAGAGAATACTGAAATTTGGTAACAATTTTTTGAATTTAAGTTATTTGGACGGGAAACAAAAAATGAAAGCGCAGAAACTTTCTAAAAACAGAGCAAACCCAAGTAAAAAATTAAATAAATACCAAGTTTATCAAATATCAACACTGACACTGAAAATTCCCAAGTAATATGAGCTCCAAAGATTCAACAACGCAAAAACAGCTATAAATTATACATGCATATATACATACATACAATCCAAAACCCTTTAACCCAAAAAAACCCTAGATGAACAGCAGAACACCAATAACCAAACTGTAACTGTATAAGGAAATCAATTAACAGTGAGAAAATAGCAATTAAAGACGAAATTAAAAATCAGTGCACACACAAATACAAGTCATAATTAGTCATCTCATAACCACAATCAAACAAAAGCAAGTGAAAAGAGCTGAAACTTGATACGGTGTACAGAGAAAAGGAGGAGAGAAAGAAGCAACTGTAGGAGTGGTCAGTGTTAGTGTGATCTGAATGAGAGAATTAGGGCTGTGAAAAGAGTGCGAACTTACTTTAAGAGGTCCTTTTAATGGCGACCAGAATGTAATTGTCTCAGGTGATAAGTCACTCTACCAAATGGCTCTGTAAATTAAACTCACTTTCTCTCTCTGTAAATTAAACTCACTTTCTCTCTCTAAAACGACGAGCGAGAAAAGCTGGTGTTCAGACAAAGGCCGTAGATAAAGCAAAGCAATCAAACACTGAAAAACATTTTCAACGAACTAGAAGCAACAGTCAAGGTTCGGACCGAGCCTGAGGCCCCAATTGAGGCTCGGAATTTCAGAGCCGAAAGAAGTAAAGAGTAATGTCGGCGTGTATTTAAAGTGTACGTGATTGTGTATATGTTTTCACCGTTCAACTAGATATTTGGGATAGTGAACGGTTGAGATTTGATGTGGATGTACTCTTTGACGCGCGTGTCACATCTTGACACTGAAAGCGGAAAAGTAGATTGGGATAGCCTGATATCCACTCTCTCTTTTGAGTTCAACTTTTGTGTAATTTTCAACATTCTGGCGGATGGAATTTTAATTTTTTCACTTTTTGGGGGCTTTAGTGTATTTTTCTCCCGCCGCCTTCAAGTTGGGATAATTGAGAGTGGCTAACGGCAGTCTAATGTCATAATTGCCATGGATTTTTGTTCTTTTTTTATACGGAGTATATATAATGTGGTTACAAAATATATATAAATATATATTTTTGTCTCGTAACATTTTATCTAGTCTCACGCACTGAATAGTTATAAAAAAAAAAATTCAAAACAATTTCAAGGTGATTTTTTTTTTTTTTTTTCCCGGCTGTACTGTCGAAAAACCCAAAACTACTCTTGATCTTCTCTCTGTAGTTTTATGAGTTAATTAAGACTAACCCTAGATTACACGTGCATGTCTCAAACATGTGCTTTGGGTTAATCTAATTTCATACTGCTCAGAAGTTGAAGGCAAAGTACAAATAAAGGAGGAAAAGTTTAATTTCTTTGTAATGATTTCATTAAATTTAAAAAAAAAAAAAAAAAAAAAAAATACTCCAATGAATGAGATTTAATTGTTCAATGGTTAGAATTTAATACAACTACAGTAGGGTTTAAAGCTCCAATTGAATTGAAAGATTTGAAATATAACGGTTTTGGCAGCATGATTGGGGAATATGTGAATATGAATATTGCAAATATTTTAGCATTATCAAGATGGGCTGTTATAGTCCAAACTAATCAGTACAACCCAAAATCTAGGCAGCCCAAAACTTCACTAGGTCTCTCTATTCTTTTCTGTCCAGCATCTAGCACAAGAAGTACTAGTTTGTGGTAGAAAATACTTGAGAAACACAACAGAGCAGAGCAGTAGAGGTCAAAATTTACCTATAAGTAAATTAATCCAACCATGCTATAAGTTATTGCGTACAATTTATCTACATATTAACCTGGCCATGCTACTTTTCATATGCTTAATCTAAATCATACCCACAATTGTTTATTTTTCTTTTTTCCTTTCTGCTGCTAGATCAATTGCAAGAAGTGAATGACCCAACCGCACTCTTGATGCCTCTACCACCATGCTAGATGAGGCAGCAATATGTAGGACCATGAACTCAGCATCGGAAAAGTAGCATCTTATTAGAATCTATCACCCAGAGCAAACTTGGCAATCAACTCTGCAACAGAGTGGGGCTTTTCAACATGAGGGATATGACCAGAGTCTGGTATTTGACGCATATGCGCATTTGGCAGTTCACAGTACAGTCTCTGCATTATGTTCAGCAAAATACATTAGAAAATTAACGGAAGGAACCATGAAATATTCTACCTATACTAAAGAAAGGACGAGCATGCTCTACTTGTGCCTAGAGTAATCAACTTCATATTGGTTTTCGCTTGTGTTCTTGTCTAGTAACGCTAAACAACTCCAGTGTTGAAGTAATTTTTCAATGAAGAGGATGTCACATTTGAAGGCTGAGTTTCCCTTTTAATCAATACAACTAACCAATAGAAATTATTCTAGCAGCTAGTGGAGATATTTTTCTGCATGCCACATTGATACAATCATCAAAGGCGACATCAATCATGCCCGACTTCAAGTCAGACATTTGATTTTCTTATCCTGAATGTTCTTAACTATTGGGTCCATCATTAGTGAATGGAGGTTCCCAATGAAGATGCTTCAAACATATTGCTATGATCAGACAAAGCATAGAACTATGGGAATACATGCCAGCTCCAACCATAATTTTGACAATTTGTAAACATGATAAGAGGTTCTAACCACCAAAACAGAAGTCAGAACATTATTCTGACTGAAATGGTGCCTTGGCATTCTTTGATTTTGCAGAAGATACATTGGTAGAAATAAGTTTTAATCTAGGAATAGGATCTAGATTCCCAAGTATATTTTATTTGCAGACAACCCTAAGCGCAGGTGCTTTTTTATTGTATTTTCTAAATTGCATACTCATATGTAGAAGGCTAGAAGTTCAAAGCTTACCAATGCATTCTTATTGCTGACGATACGGTCGTTCTCCCCCCATATGATAAGTGCTTTTTGCTTCACCTGAAGAACGAAAAATCATTAGCAACAGTAATAAAATATTCCATACACTGGATTAACTGGGACCGCATTGGATACTTACCTTGTTTTATGAAAACAGTGGTCAATTTTCTAGAATATCTATCACTTCTCTAGTTGTTTCTTAGGTAGAAGAGAGATAAAAACAAAAAAAAAAAAAAAAAAACCTGCTTATCAAAATAATAATAGTAATAATAAAAAACTTGGAATCTAGAGATTTATATAATGCACTCAAAGGAAATCAATGGAGGTAAAATCCTGGTAATCTAATTAATCAATGCAACATTATGTAGGTCAGAGTAGAGTCCACGTTATCACAATGAAGAAGAAAACCCATTTGAACCATTGCCCAATTTCTGTCCCACATTATGACAAACACAATGAAGAAGAAAAGCCAGTTGATCCGTTGCCCAATTTTCATCCCACATAATCACAATGAAGAAAAACCCAGTTGATCCAATGCCCAATTTCCATCGGACGATAATCTAATTTAAGATTTGGCTTTTGCTTCACTCCTACTGCTGCTTATGAAATACTAAGAATATCAAATTCTATAAGCAATTATCTACACGACTCATTTCCTTTCTTTACAAAGGTGAAAGTTTTCTTAACAAAGGCCTTGGATGTATAAGCAATTAACTGGGCTTACTTGGCAAGCTAATATCATCTACTATTATTTTTTTGATAAGTTCATCTACTATTATTTTTTTGATAAGTTCATCTACTATTATTATCCAATACTTCATTCTAAAACATTATTGTGCAATGTTCTTTAAGATTTCTAACAGCTGCTTAGATGAACTCAGCGACATTGCAACTATTGTTGTTTGTTACATATTCTCCTCTCGCATAATGCCAAAGGTTAGGTAAAAAATTAGGTGTGTCTCAAATCCTCTCCTCCAAGTACCCTGCATAGGCAAGCCCTGGGGCAATAGCCTCTATTCACCTCATATAAGTAAATCTATTTCCCAGAAGCTAGACAAAGATTATGAGAAATTAAATATCAGATGCAAAAGAATGATTGGAGGGAGTTCTATTTTTGATACTCTGTAAAAACCTCAATTTCCAATTGAAGAAGTTTATGAGACAAAGACGGGTTGAGACTCCTGCTACGTAATTTCCACATGCAAGTTAATCACAAATTTAACGTTTTGTGCATAAAATTCAATACCAGTTGAATAAGGTTATAACAAAAGAAATAAGTACAAGCACAGACAGTTGAGATAGGAATGGACCATGGTTTAGTAGTTATGTATGTAGCACATTAACGGAAAGCAAAGAAATTTCTACAATACCTGTTTTATTTGAGCTATAACGTTATATCCCCCACTAAGCATATAATTAACTGTAGCATCTTCCCACCAGGGTAACAGACAGTGTAAGCGGCCCACCTAATTGGCAATATGAGAACAAGAACAGCATTAGAGATCCACCTAATACCTATAACTTGTAGCCAAACTTCCAAATTAGCCACATTAAAATTCACTAATAAATTAAATGGCACTTCTCACGAGTTTTAATTATTAATAGATAAATAAACAATTTGCTCACATTAGTCCAATCTAAGGTCAAATTTAGTGGGATACTCTGTAAGAGCAATAGCTTTGCACATAGCCGTAGTGGGATGCTCTTCAACAAGGAGACCTGGTACAAGAAAATGATTAAATGATTAGGTAGGAGTGAGCTCAAGAAAACAAGAGTTATATTTGATGAATGACATGAAGGAATTGCAGGAAGGTGCCATAAATTCTTCTGATTTGTTTGATAAACACCCTATCTTGCCAATTAATCAATACCTCATTGGAGCAAGAAGCATATGAACACATCAACTCTCAAATTTAACTTTGTCATTTGATGATTAGGAGCCTTTTTTATGGACTATAAACAATAACAATATAACCTGACCAAACTGATCTCATTCAGTAATTAAAACCTAAGGCCCTAAACAAAAGAAACCAAAAGATGCAAGTAGTGCTACAGTAAAGTGAATAAAAAACACTAAGTGGTGTAAACATTTCCTGCTTCGGTAACTCCAAAAGTTCTCCTGCTTTGTATGCAAAAATTGAGAATTACTAAGATTTAACAAATATTTAAATTAATAAAAGTATCTAGTGCCAAAATTTAACAAATAAAAAACTTAGTAAATGGCACCTAATGACCAAACAAATACCATGGGCACTTGCTTTGATACAAAAACAGAATCTTGACTGGATTAAAGACACAAATCCTGCATAACATCAATGCTCAGCTAGTCAAGATATGACATCACAATGTCTTCTACAATCTCCCCTTTCCCATGTGGATAACTGATCCTAGATAATGATAATGATCAGTTTCGAATACTGCCTGGCTACCATTACCTCTATTTCATCAACTTTATTCCCAATTTTACTAAAGTTACATTCTGTTTCTTCCATTTCAGTCTTGCTAATCCTCAAATCTTTGGATTCCAAATTATTACTTTATATTCTAACTTGTAAATGAAGGATCAACTCAACTCCAATTTTGTCAACTAAAGCTAAGAATCAGTACATATGCTGATGTGTGTGTACACATGTTGATGTGTGTGTGCACATGGACGCAATAACAACAAACATACATTTATGGGCATCAGTACAATATTTGATTGTCAGTAAAATACTTATCATGGGCTAAACACCAAAGTCCCAGATTGCCAAATAAATAAACTTACCATTGCATAGACCGCAATTCTAGGTAACTTTGTGAAGATTCCTGTGCCTTCAGCATACACATTTGCATCAATCAAAACCAGCTTTTCTACCTGCAAATCTAGAAAACTTACACCATGAGCATTAACGTCAATGACAAATAAATAAGATAGTAAACTGAGAGCAGAAGCAAGATTGCTAGAACAGCTATTAGCAAATAGCCACTTGGTAAAGACTGCCTCCATGGAGCCTGTAATTGTGCATGAGTTATGATCTTCTATGTGTATGTATATCTTCTCATTTCATATATGTCATACATAAGTGGCACGTGGGTATTCAACTTAAAAGCCAGTCACCACAAAGTTTTTGAAGTTAACAGGATATAATGTCATGCACTTAGTCACTTGTGTGGTTGGGTTCCACTCATCACTTTTTATGATGATTTTTAAACTAAAATTAGTTTAATAACCGCAGAAGCTCTCAATTCCCCAGCCCCATATAGCAGAGGCTGGCAGCCCTCAATCTGATCAAAATCTCCAATTAGCCAATCGACAAATATAAGAGGGGGGTCTCACCCTATATCCAACAAACTAAATAACTACTGATTATAGCATTTTATAAGCGGAAACACGTTATCTTTGGAATTTGGATAGCAACTTCAAAGTCCCTATATGAAGTCAACTCAATCAGGTCAAAAATAAGATAAGATCTTAGAACTTCTTTAGATCAAATAATCCTAGAGATGCCAATAAGTTAGCATGCAGCATTTATTAGATTATTATTTGCCCACATAACTTGGATTTTGCATCAAGTCAGTAGAATTTTTTTTTTTTTGGATAGTCTACAACAGCTGGTAGAACCAAAAAAACTTGATTTGGCCATGAAGCTGAGATCCCTACTCCTTTGGATGATTTGAGAGGAACAATTGAGATGGTTGCCTAAGACCCCAATTGAGGGGGATGCTTCTATGGCCAATGGCTGGACTAATTTCGGAGCAAAGATGCTTCTAAGGTCACCTCATGCTTGAAATTGAAGATGTGCATCAATCATCAGGCGGAAGCAGGGGTTCAGATGGCCTTTGAGATCTGATCTGTGAAGAGGTAGATGATATAGCCAGGTTCCTGGGCAGCCATTTAGAGGGCTCTTTTTCTCTGTGATCATTGAGAGGGATCTCATAGTATTTCTTTACCAGATGAATTGATAGTTCTTGTGTAAAAAAACATAAAAACCCAGAAGCACAACTTGTGACATGCAATGTTGTTTCAGATACTTCAACTTGAAAGGACTGACCATAACTAATAAAAGAAATGCATTCAATGAGCATGCAATATGATTATGAGCTCAACTGAAGGAAAAAAAAAAAACTTACAGCTTCAGGATAATTGACTACAAAATCAATTGCAACAGCAGCACCAAGGCTTGGTCCAACTAATACCATTGGCCTTTTAATGTGGGATTTCCAAAGCTGTGGTTAAACAAGAGAGAACCAAATTAGAAGCTGAGAACAAAATTTAAATAGGAAAATGCTAGTTGAGCCGATTTGCCCTACACCGACCAAGAGACAAAGGTCTGTGGGCCCCACCACATGTTAGTGGGTCCCAGAAGACTATTGTAAGTTGGTTGGCCTGGCTAGCATAACTCATTTAAATATCACCATGGAAGGTCAACCATAACTAGTTGACACAATGTTCCAAATTATCTATATACCATGAAACTCTTTCAGGCCAAAATGCCAAAATTACCTCGAGTATGCAAGGGTGTGCTAAACAAAAACACAAAATTAAGTCTGCCAGTAACAGAGCTAAGTGGTCAGAACAACATTTCCAACATCCGACGACAACAGAAATTAGAAGTTAAAAAAAACATACCTGATAGAGATGATGACGTTTTGATGCCACATTACATGGTGGAAGTTTTTCTGGTACATATGAGAATGTTAAAAATATGTAGTAACAAACAAAACAAGTATAGAAAGAAAGCACAGTCTGGGAATAAAGATGGTATGCATATAACTATATCAGCTAACAGCAGAGTTAAGACTAGGGAATGAACCTAAATCGGAGAAGCCCCACCCAAGGACATCGACAGCCCAAACCTCCAAATCAGCCTCCTCAAGCAAGGGGTATACACATCTCCATTCTAAGCAAGAACTATGAATACAAAAGAATGAACCAGACTTAGCAGGGTATCATATTTTTAAATTTCCAGCATAATTTGCATATAATATAAATCTAATACCTGTCAAAACAATGGAGAAGAACCACTGGATTGGTCTCCCTTTTTATTAGTGGCTTCACACAACTACTCATGATACAACTTTCAGAAAATCCAACCTGCAATGTTACAAGCACTCACATTAGCACCCCAGTGTAAGAATTGCCTATATTGTGTTAACGGTATGAAACTCGACACTATTCTTTTCCATTTGGTGCTTTGGAATTGGAATTGGAATTGGAGGAAATTTAATTGAAACACAGCGATAATTCAATTGAGAATATTATGAAAAAAATATTGAGCATTTTTCCAAATGTGCGCCGAACATTTGGAAAATGCATTTGTAAAACTGGATTGGTAAATTGAAAATTCAAGACCAATGGCGTTGTAACCTAATGGTATCTCCTCTACCTTCCAACGCGGATGGTGAGGGTTCAAGTCCCCATACGGGCGAATGGGTGTATGAGTTTCTTGCCAAGAAAAAAAAATTAAATAAATAAAAAATAATAATCGCTGAAAGATTTGCCACAAAACAGTAATTTGTGAATTCAATAAATGAAGTGTTTTAGGTTTTTCTTGAGTCTCAATATCATCACCAAATTGTTCAAATGTATGGCACTACCTCAGTGAAATTGAACAAATGAAGTGTTTCAGGCTTTTCTTGGAGTCTCAATATCATAACCAAATTGTACAAAATGTATGGTTCTACCTCAGTGAAATTGAACAATCAATTCAGAGGTCGGACTTAGTTAATAGCATGTGCCAAAATTATATTGAACTGTTAACTTCAACCACTTGATTTTATGAAAATGTAAAACCCTTAATAAATGAAACAATGACAAAGATATATCCAACTCTTTGTGAAGTTGTGGCCCGAATCTTGTTTTGGCGTTGCGATCTGATCTCGTGTATCATGGATCCGGTTCTAGAACACTCTTGTAGCTCTGTATATAAGGCGTCTAGGGTTTGGGAGTGTGTTAAGAGAGAACAATGATAGCCGCATATTAGAGTGTTAGAAAGAGATTGGGAAATTGGGGGTGAAGAAATTATTCGCAGGAGAGTGTTTACTTTTCTGTCGATTTCTTGTTCTTGGTTCAGGGTATTTGTCACAACAATCCAACCTGATCAAACTACTTTTCAGCAATGTTACTAATATGAGATAAATTGATAACCAAGCAGCTTAAATATAAGTAAGAAGAACTAGTTTAGGCTAGAAATCCAGATACTGATTATTTTAACTTTAATTTTTCTCGATTAGAAACAAAAATTCTTATTCAACAACCTTGAGAAAAGAAAAGAAAAAAAAAAAACAAAGGTGTATTTGAATCATAACCCATTATATGTTATTAAACACTAAACCTATCAGTAAAACCTTGATTCTATGACAATGTGAAGGTAGAGAGAGAAAGGTAGATAGACCTGTACAGGGAGCCTCTGAATCCTCTGAGCCAAGTTTCGAGCAAATGGGTCTTTGATTTTGTGTACTTCTTGGGGGAGAAACGAGGGAAACTCATCGTCACCGCCATCTGCGAAAACCCTTAAATCTCTTGTAAAGCATTTCATTCTCTTTCCTCCGATTAGAGGACAAACTAATGAAAAAGCCACCATGTTTCAAATATGTAGCAGTAAATACACATGTACTGACAATATCAAAATTCAAAGCTCAAAACCAGAAAGAGACTGCATTTGTGCAACTACATGCATAGCAATTAGGCATATAGACTATATAATCTGAAATGAGCACTCATAAAACAGAAAGCAATTTGATATTTAGCATAGAATGAAATTATTTTTCCCCAACTGCATTTATTATTGTCCATGTACTACTACGTTCTAGATACGACAAAAGTCGCTCTTTGTTGCAGCACTCTCTGCATACCTGATGCAAGCACAGGTAGGAAACTATTTTCGCTTCTGTTTTTTCTTTTTTTGTTTTTTTTTGTTTGTTACAAAGTTCAAACCATGTTTGGGACGTAGTATAACAGTAGGAAAAATAAAAATAATAAAATGAAAATAATACTAAGTAGTTAAAGAAGAATAAAATTTTAAAATAGGCCACTTTATAATTTAAGGGGTCTAATTGTAATTTTTTCATAAAAAAAAAAAATTCAGTGACGGCGGATATATATAAGTATAATAAGGTAATATTCCTTCCGTTTCATATTAGTAATTCATTATTCTCTTTTTACATGTCACAAATTAATTATCTTCTTTACTCTTTTTACATGTCACAAATTAATTGTCCTCTTTAAAAAGTCAAAGTATATAAGTTTTATATTTTTATTAATGTCTTTTATTCTTTTTTTAAAAAATTAAATTTTATAGTTATATATATTTAAATTAGAAGGGATAAATTAATAATTTTAAAAACAAATAATGTATTAAATGTATGTCTTATTAAAAACTTTACTTTTTAAATATTTTAAAAACCTTTAATGTGTGACAGAGGTTGTATATATAATCAAGGGCGCAGTGCGGAGTGCCGGGACGCATTCCGACCCAGATTGGGAGCTAGCGGCAGTAGTGCCTTTCTTTTGTACGTACATACCATGCCAGTTAGCTCTTGTGTCACTTGACAAACCTGACGAAGACGTGATAGGGATTGTCAATTCATAGTACTTTGTTTATTTTTTTTTCTTCTTTATTCATACTTCCTTTTGAGACATGTGCATGTCTATTTCGAGCATTGTCAATATTGGTGATGATGACATATTACTTTTTCTCATTAAAAATTCACTTCGAGATTTGTAATTCACAATAATTGTATGAAGTCACAAGATATAACCTCATTCTCAATATTATTATCCACCTCATAAATTGTGATTCACGTCATCCAGATGGATAAATATAATAGAGCAGAAGAAGTAATTAATAGGATAAATTATATTGACCTCACTTTAGCTAATCCCATTTGTATAATTAACGTAGCCAACATTTGCAATTGATGATGGAAGCAACTTGTATCCTTTAATTTTCCTAAATTACCCCTATAGTTGTTGTAAAAACAAACCAGACTTTTTCTTACTCAACCAAAATTCCCAAACACTAGCCCTCTTCTTTTAAGTTCCTTTGAGAGACTCAGCCATGGATTTTTTTAAATATATTTTTTAATATATATATATTTGCAGTAAGTTCAGCCACGGTTTTTTTGTTTGTGGTAAATAAGTTCAGCCATGATTTCTCTCTAATTCAATTATTTTTTTTGCATTTGGCAATGGTATATGTGTATATAATAATACAAGTAGTATTGTATTGAACGCGATGCGGTATTATATCTTGTGTATGTTAAGTTTGTAAAACGATACAATAGGCTTAGCACATATATTATTTATATCTATACTATTATTAAATGAGCAAAGTATTTCAGTGTTTCAATATTTATTTATTTATATAAAAAAATATTTATTAATTGATATAAAAATAGTTTTTGTAAAAATAGTTTCTATAAAATTCTAAAAATTACCTAATAAAATCAATCACATTTTATATAAAACTCTTATTTTTAATTCAATATAAAAAGAATAGTTATTTTTTATGAATAATTATCACCATATAACCGGTCCGGTCCAGTTATGATTATGTCATTATCAGAAAATGACACATGTCATCATCTTATTCATCCAAGAAGCTAATAAATAAAGGCATGGAGAAAGAAGGAAGGAGTACAGAAATTGAGAATTCTAGAAATCCAGAATTTCTGAGTAAAATATATAAACTCTGCCAAAGAGTTTCAATAATTATTTATTTATATATATAAATATTTATTTATTGATATAAAAAGAGTTTTTATCTATACTATTATTAGATGTATAAAGAGTTTCAGCATTTATTTATTTATATAAAAAAAATATTTATTAATTGATATGAAAAGAGTTTGTACAAAAAAAAAAAAAAAAAAAAAAAAAAAAAAAAAAAAAAAAAACCCACTAAAATCTACATAATAAAATTTAAATTAACCTATTTATCAATTTATTATTATGAATTTTTTAATAAAAGAAAATTTAATTAGACAAGAATTATTAATATTTATCTATTTATTATGAGCTTTTGAATAAAAGGAAATCTAATTAAACAAGGATATATTTAAAGAAAATAAAACAATTTCTATAATTCTATCACATTAGACAATAATATATTTAAAGAAAACATATAATAATTTAATAATACATATAAATAAAACATAAATGTTAAAGAATTTGAACATTTTAGTATTTATTTTTTAATATAAAAAATATTTATTAATTAATATAAAAAGAGAATTCTATCACATATAAGTATATAACACTTGTATTTTATCTATTTATTATGATTTTTTTAATAAAAGAAAATCTAATTTTACAACTATATATTTAAATAAAATAAAATAATTTATATAAAACTCTACCACAAATCACCTATTTTATTTTCTATAAAACTCTAAAACATTAAAATAAGAATATATTTAAAGAAAATAAAATATAACATAGGGTCTTCCAAAAACCACAAACTTCATATAATAAATTTCTATATCAATTTCAATCTAATGTATGATTAGTATAATTGAATTTCTATTTTAAAATTTAATTAAAAATTAATATAATTGAATTTCTATTGTAAATTAAAAATTATACTAAAATTCAAATTACCTAATAAAATTCAAATTACCTAAAAGAATTTGTTACTTTGCGAAACTCAAATAAAAATATATATTGATTAATAGAATATAAATATAAATATTTCAGTATTAATAGAAAAACCTAAAAGAATTTATTAATTTATGAAACTTAAACTCTACCACCAATTTCAAAATATTTCAATATTTATTTATTAATATAAAATAAATATTTATTAATTAATATAAAAAGAGTTACAAAAAATTGCAATTTGTTTTTAACGTTTATTGTTACAAGTTTCAAATCAACAATTAGAATATATATATATATATATATTATTGTGTATAGTATTAATTGTTAAAAGGATGCAACAAGACGTGGGTGATTTACCTCCAAAAAAAAAAAAATTGATTAATAAAAAAAATGAGAGAAAGAAAAAAAAAAAAAAAAAAAAAACGTGTGTATATATATTTATATGAACATATTCAATATGGAGTATTATATATTGGGTATGTAAGAATAAGGAATATTATATATTGGGCTTGTTAACTTGTAATAGGATTAACAAAGCGCACACATATATAATTTGGGTTAAGTGTAAAAAACACCCTGTTTATAATACATATCACACCCTTTCGTGCAAAAAATACAACTTAAATTTTAATTTAATGCAATCAAGTTCCTCTAGCACATTTAAAACCAAAAAATAGTACTTTATCGTTTTGCACACCCATTATGCAATTCGGTCTGGGTTTCGATGGTATGCTCTTCTTCTATACAAAAATCCAATTTGGATTAATTTATCTCTTCACTATATTCCTGACCATCCAATTCAATTTCCTTAAATAGTTTTTGGATTGTTTTTTCGTCATATTCCTCATCACCTTTAATTTTTTCACCTTCATAGTATAGATCTGCATAATAAACCCAAAAATCCAGCGAAGAAAAAAAAAAACGAAAGCTTGAAATTTTATTACAAGCAACCTTGAAGGCTGTGGCGTTGATGGGGGAGACAGTGGCGGAGACGACTGTGGACTTTCAAACCCGCCGTTTCCACCTCCGTGACTGTCCCGATCGCCGGCTTCGGCGAGAGCCAGAAACCCCATTATCGGAAACACCGGTGAACAAAGATAGTGCAGGGAACTTGGAACGGTGGTGCAGCGGCGGTGACGGAATGGACCGGCGGTGACTTTGTGTCGCGGCACCGGCGGTTAAGGAGAAGCTCAGCTGTGAGCTTCTTGACGATGACTCAGCCATGGATGACGCGGCTGTGATGAAGAACTGCAGCAGTGACTCGCTCAGAGGACTGACAGTAGCTCAGAGGGCTCGACTTTGGATGATGTCGACCGTGATAGAGCGACAACGAGCTCGGCTTTGATGATGGAGGCGACGGCAAGCTCGGCCGGTGGAATCGGCTACAGCAAGCAAGAGAGGACTTAAAATTTTAGAGTCCAGTCCAGTTAAAATTTTAGGGCTTAAAACTTCAATCTAAAAACAATCCAATTCAACTTCCTCAATTTGGATCTAACTGGACTCAAAATTTTAGTTGGTTTAGAGTTCATGCCATTGACTAAAAATAAAATTTGATCTTCTCTTTTTGTTTCTTACACATTGCCTCCTGTTGAAGGTTCGAAAGTGATAGCAAACAGGAAAAGTGAAGTTTCCCAAACACTTAGATCTCATGCTCTTATACAGCCTTAGCTGTGGGAAGGAGCTGAAGAACAGTCAAGAGGGGGAAGAACACTTTAGTTCCAGTTTAGGAGAAAATTTTAGTTCCGCTTCTTGGACCGTGCAACTGACACATTTGATTATTGGACCGTGCAACTGACACATTTGACTATTTAGTATTGCGTGTATTACATAAATGGTCCAGATATGTCCCGTGCAACGGGCGCAACTAAAATTTTCTCCCAATTTAATTGCTTTGAAACCCTAAATCGACCCTATAACTAATAGGATAAATGAAAAGAAGAGAACTGAGAATAAATTATAATAAATATAATGAGATCATTTATGTAATTTCACTCAAACACACATCCACCCAATAGCTCTGACAAGGGAGGTTAGGGTAATTTGTCAAACAAAAAGGGATGTTAATATTATTTAAATAAACTTTATAGGATATCGATATAATTTACTCTAATTAATAAACCAATTTATAGCATGAGAAATGTTTATTTAATCAAATATATATAATTATTTGATTCCGTCTATATTAATTGTTTATATTTGATTTCATAACTTTTTAAGGGAACATAACTTTTTAATTTTAATTATATATAATGTAAATTAAAAAGTAATTATGAAATGACAATATTTATGAATAATTAATTTAGGCCATCATTAAAATGGGGAAGAGTAGTACAAATGAAACATTTGCCTCCTAGATGATGTGTAAATGAAATGGAGATGTAAATTGTACGGAGTAATGTACTGTAATACTCTTTAGGACAACGCTTACATCCTGCGGGCGGAGGATGAGGTTCATCCTCCGCGCTGACGTGGCCCAATGAGATTATGACAGGTGTCCAATATTAAAAATAATAATAAAGCCCAGGCAATGCCCATTTTGTCCGGTTCAACCCATTTCTCTTTTCTCTCTCATCACTCTTAATACCTAATATCTTCTTTCTCAGACCACCTCAAACCCATTTTCACTTTCCTCTCCATCGCAACTCTCTTTTCTGTCTTTCTCTCTCTCCTTCTATGGCCTCCCATCTGTCTCTGCAACTCTCCCAATTTTTTTACCACGCGTAAGCTCTCTTTCTCCCTTTATATATATATATATGTATATATATAAACACACGTAGATGCACGTAATGATTCAGTGAAGTATATGTGATGTTATACTGTTTGTATATTTGTATATGTTTGTACTAAATTTGGACCTGCAACGCTAAAAATTTGAATCTACTGATATCTGATGAATGATCTGCAATTAGAATGATTTTTGAAAAAATTCTGGTTTGAATTTTGATTTCTCATTAAGTGATACTGGTTTGAATTTTGATTTCCCATGAAAAATCCGTATGGTTTGAATTTTGATTGCATCATAGGAATTCCAAAAATCCGTATGGGGGTATTTTGGATATTGGACAATTCAAAACTGCTAGATGCTAAGTGGCTAGCTAATAACTATTACTCCTCATCCCTAGTCCACTTTTCATTTTAAGGTGCTATAATTACTTGCCCTATGATCTATAGATATGACCACAAATGGTAAAAAATAATTGATACTCTTATTCAAAAATTATGGTTAAAATCTGTGTTTTTGTTTTATTTTTCTTGTAGCCCTGAATAGTCCTTTTGATTCTTATATTTTACTGCTGTTTCCCATTTTCAGGTTACAATGATTTTTAACTTGCTCTTAAATGGTTGATATAAAAGTTATATGGTCAATAATTGGTATAATGGAGGTTGAGGATTGGACCAGTTCTTCAGGAGAAACAAGTGATTTAAAGTGATTTGAGGTCTGTAAACAGAGTGATTCAAATACAGAGCTCGAAAGAACAAATTTAGCACTATTGGTCTAATCCTGAGTTTCGTCAGGTGTCGCCATTATCAAAGTTTTCAATAATAAATGTAGAGAGAGAAAGAGTGGAGTAATTTGTAGAGTGAAGCTGAATTGTTCCGAAATGTAGTGAGAGAAAACAGATGAAGAAATCTAGAGATAGAGTTTGAAATTGGAGAGGTGATATTGAAAACGACCTCACGATTGAATTGAAAACTTTTTTATAATGAAAGAGAACTCTTTTACAATGAAAGAGAATTATGTGTTTTGAATTGCTGTAATTGTGATTCTGTCATGGGATTGTAAGTATCTGGTTTTCAATGTAATTGCCATGTTTTTACCTCAAATTGTGGTTTCAGTTTAATTTTTATTAAAATCCCAATCTCCGTTGATTTGATTTTGAGTTAAGCTTGCTTCATTTTATTAAAAGTTATCTAAACTGTTGGACTTGTAGTTTTGAATTGAGTGAACCTGTGAGTACATGTGAAGGTCTTATGTGAAAACTAAAATGAATCAATTTTGTGGAAGTATTTGCAATGAAGCTAAGAGTCACTGGAACACAAAGAGAATGAGCTCAGTTCAAAGACATTCTTTGTACTTCATTTGATCTTTTGAACTTCTCTTGTGGCACAAAATGAAAACTTAAAGAACATAGGTGAACAGAGCAGTTCGTTCCTGCATTTCTGTCATTGATTCAGAATTCCTATCTATAGAATGACCTACGGAAGTAGCTAGCTTTCAACCCCTTGATCTGCCTGAGATCTCTCAAAGCAGCATCAGTAGGAATTTGACAAACAATATAAACAATTGTAATTTAGTGAAAGCTCTGAGTGATTAAAAACATACAATCCGAAACAGGATACAAAATATTCAATCTATAACATCCCAAAAATAGGATTAATCAGACAGTGAAAGCTCCGAGTGATTAATCAAAATAGAATACAAAATATTCAATCCATAGTATCCCAAAAACTCCACCAAACAAGCCTCGGATTGACTAACAAGTTTTTTTTAGTTATAAAAACAAAAAGTAACACAATCCCCTTGCATTCCCCAAAAGCTTCACCAAACAGGCCTCAAATTGGAGGAAAATTATCAAATGGGTTGCCTTCTTGTGCAGTTTGTGAGAGGTTGCCATAATGCGACTCCTACAAGATTGAAACACTAAAATTATAAGAAAGTTAAATAAATAAATCTACATGATTAATTTGTAACATTATCAATTATTTTGTTAGGATAATATAATTACCTGAAGTAATCGTGTGTAAAACATATTAGGTTGCTGATTTGTGATTGCCTCAAAATTTTCATGATCATAGTTCATCATTGAATGGGATGTGGAAGACGTCTCTACTCTAAGGCCAATTTGAGATTCCTATCAAATATAAATTAAGTAATAATTACAAAATCGTAAAATAAAACATAAACTATTGTAAAGAAATATAATGCAAAAAAGAAATAAATTGGGTAAAAATATTATGTCTAGATTGTTGCTCTTGTAAGTTCCAACTACTAAATATAGGCTCCTATAATATCAAAAACAATAAAAAGTTAAGTACAACACTGATCACACTTTAATTTATTTTTAAATTTTAAATTATTTATAAAGTTTTATATAATACCTCAGGGGTTTTTTTGTTGTCTTGTTGAATCTTTGGTATGTGAGTTTTTTCTTCGCTTTTCAAGTGTACCTTTTAATCGATTACATGGACGCCTGATTGTGGCTTTTCTTTTAACCCCTATTGGCACTTAATTCTTTGGTGGAGCTATCGTATCAACTTCCTCATTTCGACTAACTGAACTTTCGCCACCATTAACATTATTTAAGTAAAGTTCTTTCTTCAATTCCTCTAAGTCATTAAACAACACAAGAGCACGATCATTCGCGTATACATATAATTTCTCATGTTCCGATGCTAAAGATGAAATCTCACGAAAATTTTGACACAAATGACTATAACGCTTTCCCATAGACACTTAAGGATTGTTATTGACTTCAATTCCATGATAATTGGTGAAAGTCCTTACCTTCGTATCTCTTGTCCATCTTTCATGATATATTAGGGCAAAATCCTTTTTATATTCTTCTTATGTAACACTTTCAAAGCATGAACACATAAAATCCCAATAAAAGTGAACTTCATACAACTACACATGACTGTTTCTGTTGAAGCTTCAAAATTAACCACAAGCCCTTGAGATTTTCCAACACAAGATACTATGTATTCAACTTTTGTCCCATCCTTTGCCACTTTATACACATTGTAATCACCCAACCTCATGTACTCTTTCTGAAATAATTTAAACACTTCCGGGGTACAGATTTCTACACCATGACGTAACATCTCCACATTAGTTAATAACACGGGCTTACTTCGCATCATGTTAAAATCTGCACGTAGTTCTTCATACCGTCGATCATTCAAAACCCTCCTATAATGCTCAAAGAAACGCAAAAGATCATGACTCGGCTTTAAGTAATTCTTTAACACATTGTTCATACTTTCACTACGATGGGTAGTTTTCATGTTCGCGGTGAAGGTGTGTCGTCCATAAATCATTGCCCATTTTTTTCTTATTTCAAATAACTCTTTCAACCATTTATTTTCTTCGAGACTGTATTTTTCAACATCCTATTCCATGCCAATAGCCACTCATTTCATCTTCATAATCGTATACACAATTACTAAGGTCATAAGCAAAGTGGTTTGATTTATTAAACACATGACTCAAATTCTTGGCTGTATTTTGATAAATATGCCAAACACATAATCGATGTTAAGATTAAGAAAAGACAAGCGATATTGCTTTTGCCATTGCAGCAGATTAATCTGTCAGAATTGCCTTAGGTTGCTTTTCACCAAGGAAAGTTTGAAACAACCACTTAAATGATTCAATGGTTTCATCGGAAAGTAAGGCTATACCAAAGACGATTGTTTGTTTATGATGATTCACCCCAATAAATGGTGCAAAAGATCGACCATATTCATTTGTTCGATAAGTACTATCGAAGCACACAATATCTCCGAATAGGCTATAATCATTAATTGAGCGTGCATCAACCCAAAAAATATAAATGATCATATCATCCTCATCCACTTGCATTGAACAAAAATATGATGAATCAGCTGCATTTTTTCAAAATATTCTAAAATTGCACCTGCATCTCCTCTTACCATTGTCATCTTTTGCTTTCTATGTATGTAATTTCGGTAATCCTTATCTAGAAAACCAATATGTTCCCTGCCGCCAACTTCTCTACTCATCAACTCCATTGTTCCTTTTAGTGGCAATTCCGACTTCTCTGCATCTTCAGCATGTTCTTTTTGAGCCTTTGAAATATTTTGATTAATTCTCATCATATGTTTCATTGGAGTTCTAATTAAGTCATGATTATGGATTTTGTTCAACGATACAACTTTAAATTTGCCATTGTTTTGAAGTTTACATTTAATATGAGCCAAACAGCCAACTCTTGTAAGAGGTTGATGGTACAAAGGAGTTTTAGTCTCTTTCCTTTTACCTTATTCTGAATAACAAAAGGTAACCCCCGTGATGAGCCCCGTTATATTTTTTCTCTGACGATTTCTCCTTACATCGAAACCAAGTTTCCGACCATAGTTAAGGTACAACTTATATGCTTAATCACATGAACTAAACTCCATTCCAAGGTCTGGTTCATCTCCTTCTTCTTGATTTTCTTTTTTTGAGGAAAATTCATTAGTACGAGAAGAATAATCATCATCAATTTCACAACTATTTGATGGTTCACTACTTAAGCTTACATAATCTATCTCCTCCATAATTCTGCATATAAAAATGATTGTGACTATTAAAAGCTGCCAATTAAATGTAAGGAAATCTTTTAATTTGAGATGGAACATTCGATATACAATAAGAAACCAAAATTAAATTATGTGTCTCCTTAGGATCTCTCATTTTTGAAGAACCTTAATCATTTCTCATACACTTTTGTTGTGGTATCATGCAGTGCAACATCACCATATTTATTTTGAGATTTCACAACTTTAAATACTGAATTTTATCACTATAATGATGAAATTTTGCCAATTTTAATCACCAATAAAACTGGTAAAATTCACCATTTTAAGTGGTAAAGTTCTATGAATTTTGATTAATGTTAATGACAAATGTACACAAACATGAATAAAAAATAAACAAAAAATCGAAGAAAATTGGTGTTGATTATCTTATATCTCAAGTAAATAATACCCCCTTATCATTGTTTTCATGCGAATCATAGAAAGAGTAACAACATGACGAGTTTAACCAGAAATTTCAATTTCGAGAAATAAGCTACTAAATTTATCTACGAAATTCAAAGATGTGAATGTAGGTGCAGTAAGTGAAAGAACAAAAAGTATGTTCACTCATACACAATCTACTCATACAAAAAGTATGTTCACTATATACAATAGTATTGATCGATCTTGACATTTTTTTTTTTTTGGCCTTTAATGATGTTTATAAATTATGTGTTTCCTTAGGATGGAGTATGGTGCCTGGTCGTAGCGCCTATGTATATTAGAGTTGAAACTTGAGAAGTCATGGCGTAAATTATTCCAAACCAACCCGTTAAATTCATAATTCATCCACAAATTCATACAACTCAACAAAGGAAAGAAATAATATTATCAGGTAAAGAATGCACCATAATGGGCTATAATAATGAAAAATTATTATATAACCCCGTCAATTGCTAAGCTGATACGCAACAAATGTGTTAGTTTCTAACAAAAAAATTTAGAATATCATAGAGGTACCCTAAAACTTTTCGTTTGTAACAATTAATTTTATTTAGCTTCTTGCTTTCATATCAGTTAGCTACATTGTCCAGGCCACCATGTAATAATTTCTCCTTATTTGACAAGTACACAATCGACACCCTAAGGAAAAAGATGAAGTGGTTCTGTGACAATTTAAGAGCAGTCATGAAGTGTACTACTAAAGGAAAATGTATATATATATATATATATACACACACAACATAATAATAGATCATTCAAAGATATCGAAAAAAGAAGATTAACAGGTAGGTTTCACTAATGATCAGATTTAATTAACGAAGAAAAAAAGAATTACCCAGTCAGGGGCTCTAAGTATGCCGAGTCCACCAGCATTAGCAACAACAGCTACAAGCTCTGGACCTGAAATATCACATATACTTCACTGAATCATTATGTGTATCTGTGTGTGTTTATACACACACACACACACACACACACACACACACACACACACATATATATATATATATATATATCAAGAGAAAGAGAGAGAGCTTACGCGTAGTAGAAAAATTGGGAGAGTTGCAGAGACAGATGTGCGATACCCCTAGGATCCAAGACACGGGTTGATTAGGCCCAGGCTCAAACC